GGTAATGTGCAAAGCTACAAATAAACAAAGCATATTATTCTTATAATGGAATATGTTGTTTGTTTGCTCACCACATGTCATGTGCTACACTACCGCCGCTTTCTCATTTTAGAAACCAAGGGTAAGTTGCACAACCTAACTTTAACAGTAACTATATCGATAGCCGGTGCTTTTTGTATAGAGTTTGACAGATTTTTGACGTTTGTTAAAGTCAAAATAAGATGGTGCAAACCAGCCTTATATTCCATAAAATATGCTAAAATAAATAATATGATCTTTTGTTAATCTCATTAGCGATTTGATTTCGTAATGCGGTTTAGTGACTTTTTGCGTTTGAAAAGCGGTTGATTTGAACTTTCTAAAGCGATATGATAGCTTGGACAGGCCATTAATTGCCGACGCCGAGCCTAGTACTACTTTAACCCTTAAATAAATAAACAAAAAACTTGTTAAAGTTTATGCCAAAATAGTATAAAAACAGATTATAAATCCTCCCCGGATTATACCATTGAAACAATGGAAAGTAAACCGTAGGGACACAATATTGTTAAAAAAAGTATTATGTTATCAGGGAACCATGAACCTGACACTTTTATGTTACAAAAAAGACTTCAATAACATTCTGTTACATACATTAATGAACGTGAGGATTTAATTACATGCAATTTAATTATTGATGGGGCAGCAAGGTTCTGGAATGGAGGCCGCGTACCGGAAAACGCAGCGTGGGACGTCCACCTACAAGGTGGAACGACGACATCGTAAAGGTAGCAGGGAAGCGCTGGACGCAGGCCGCTACCAATCGATCAACGTGGAAAGCATTAGGGGAGGCCTATGTTCAGCAGTGGATGTCCTATGGCTGAAATGATAATGATGACGATGAATTTAATTATAACATTTTTTAAAAGTCCAGTACTTTCGATTTGGGAGTGGGGACTGAAATGCTTCTGAAGGTGCAAAGGGATTTTTTATTTAATTTGACTAAAGACCTAGAGATTTATGATTTGCTTACTTATACGAGTATAATATTACAGCATTCCATAGTGTAATTTCGTTTGTAATTGCGAATTCTGTTAACTACCCAAGTAATAGACATTAGCTGCTTTAGGGCTTTGAAATCCGATTATTCCATAAGGTACCAGACGTAACCACCCGGTGCTTAGTGTGTTTTACAGGAGGGTTAAAACGCAGTCAGGTTTACGGTGCAAACAGCTTTGTAACTACATTTTGAGACTGCTTTAATATTACACTGTAGTATTACGATAATTATGAGAATTGTTATTAATGTTCAATTTATGAATTTTCAGTTTATTTTATGTATACCAGATTTTCTTTGTATACCGTATTAAAAAAAAGAAGAAGAAAATAAATTATCTAGTTTGTCAATATTGCTTGAGCTTTAATCCGTATCTACAGATTCAGCTCAATACGTAAGTAAATAAAGCTCCAATTTTACTGTTCTTTATTCTCAGTTTGAGTAATTAATGTGAGCCATTTAAAAATTATCATTGAATCTCAAACTAAGTATTTATTGTTGAATTGAAATGAAGTTAAGTATTTATAGCTTATAATAACTATATGTAGCAAGCAAACTATGTTTGCTATTTATTGGTAGAAATATGATCAAATAACTTTTTATCAGCTTATTTGGCACGTCCTAACTGCATAATTAATGCCAACTTTGACATTTGACGATTTAAGGGGAAGGTGTACACTTAACACTATAAGGGCGGCATGTGACCTTTCCCACCTATCCACCCCCGTAATCTACTTAAAGATTTCCATATTCACAAAAAAGGGTCTTGAGGCTTAAACTTATCCAGATTTTTCCAACAAATTGCTAGTGTGTCCGGCGATGAAACAAAAACAGCTGATGTTATCATTTGATTATATGCGGTATTCTTTACTCAATGACCAGAAACTGTTATTTTTCACTTTACACTGACAGGAAGGCCGCTGAAGTACTTTACAGAAATACAAGTGGAAATAGTCATGCTAACAATAACATTTTTCGTTAATTATGTGAATTGTCCAATGTAATTTTAATTTGTCACTCTATTTGTTATCGCCTACGGGAATTGATCAGTTTGTATTTTCGTACTAATTGAAGTGTGACATATTTTGTTTTTGTAACTTTTATCGTTACTATTATTTTGTCGTTTATATAAATACGATGAAACACAGCTTTTAATAGTTGAACGTTGTTGTGTGCTTTGAAAATAACTGTAAGAGTAGGCGCACACCGTTGATTTTTAGTTGGCCGATAGTTGTGCCCGATTTTAAATTGTATGAAGAATCGGCCAAATCGAATCGGCGTAGTGTGCACAATCCCATACATGCCCATACTGATCAACTGCCCGACTAAACTATCGGCTGACGAAAAATCAACGGTGTGCGCCTACTCTAATTTTGACGCCTCAATTGCCTCAGAGATTGCGTACCTTGAAATAAGATGTATTATACTAGGATTAATGGCAAAAATCAATGACATCTCAAGCTAGTACTATCAGTATCGTGGAATAAATCACCTAAGGAGGTCAATTAGCACTCAACTAGCCAAACAAAAGAGTTTTAAGTGCGCTTAGAAAACTTACACAGAGTGTATTTAATGCTTTTAAATGACATAATGTAACGGATTACAGGAAAAGTTTATTGCTCCATTATTATATTGTGAAATAGTTCTAGATTAGAACACTAGTATCTAAAACGCGATAAGTGCTTATTAACAAGGCAACTCATGTCAAAAGCCAATCTATAATCAGATTTTGTGATAATGTAATCTAAAACGACATTATCTATGTAATGTTATAATTTGAAGGAGGGTTGCCTCAAATCTATATTTGGACTTATATTTTACAACATTAATCAAATCAATAAATAATATAATCAAATCAAAACCACGAACAACACTCGAATCTATTAAGATTCAGCCCAATTAATAAACTGTAGTGATTTTGAGAGGCTTAAGGGTTATTTTGGCGTAGGTAGGTACTCAGCTATCTTAAACGCCTAATTCAATTTGTTAGTTTTTATAGAATACTGTTACTTCATTCCTATTTCGTGGTGAAGCGGAGTGTCCAACAGTTTTTTAAAATAAATATTGTATTAAAATTGCGTATATAGAAATATAAATATAAGACTTTCATTAACTACCAAAATATATAAAATATTGGACATAATTTTACTTGAGTACTTATTTATTAATCATGTCCCAAAAGTTACAAAATTTTCTGTGTCTACATTTATTGCCATACTTATTTGGATTTTCAAAGAATTTGTAATAACAAATAGGTACTCATAATTGGTGATTATGAGTGTTATTACAACAATAACTTCAATACAATGGGTAACCAGGCGCCTGAGTTAAAAATTCCGTCAAAATATCTTAACTAGGTAATCGTATCAATTTCGGCACAGTGATCTGAATTCAGATATCGGGCAGGTAATCCTTAACGGCAATTATTTGCTTAGTAACTGTTTGATTACACCTACACAATTGGCTAAAGTTTTAAGTGCCACCCCTATTGACGTAGCGGGTGTAATTAAAACACTCTACATGTTGACATTACGCTCGACGCGCACTGTAATGAGACACAGTTATCAGTATACCCTCCTATTTGAATTGGTTTGTCCACAAGGACCACTTAAACTTATCAGGTAATGCGTGTAAAACCTCCTTAATGGGAAAGGAAAATACTTATTAGGATAACACTATCCCATGGAAAACTTGAATGACTTTTCCATGACTCACTATAACTTGTAAAAAGCTTCAAATGCTGACGCGTAAAAGGTCCCTGTTAGATACTTAATAGAACTATACGCTTCCAGAGTTATAATTTAGGCTTTACATAGAAGTCTATATTTTATGTGTTGCCAAAGTATAAACATAAGTTTCACAAATAAATGTATCAGTTTTTTTTTGGATCTTTTGGGATCTAAACTCTTAAATGATTGACGTCCGTATGAAACAGAAACGTTCGTTACAATAACAAAACTCCAATTTTACTTTTACAATTATTTCAGTCGTCAGAACGCTCATTAAGCAAATGGGTACGGAATTAATCAAAGATTTCAATACAAATTCACGTTTACTTTTTCGAAAACATCATCATCATAATAAATATTATATTTACTCGAGATACTTTCTACAAAACAGTTCCAACAACCTATTTCGAATAGCACTTTTAAATCTCAACGCATAAGCTAATGAAAATTAAAAGCGCTAGTGCCTTTGCTGTAGCACAATAAAAAGTTGATTGTAGAATACCACAAAGGATGGCAAAGTACAAAGTTACAGAGTCATTTGCCCCTATCACCTCGTCAAAGGAAGATGTTTATTCACTAGGATTCTTGAAAAAACATCTCCACCTTTTTACGCTAAAAGCCCGCTGCGTGCAGCTTTAAAACGAAGATAAAAACCATCTTTCTGTTTACTCTTTGCTAATTAATAGCACTGACATTTTGAAAGTTGGTGATTGGAATAACTTGGTAGCTTCAAGTTTGAAATGTTAATGTTAGTTCTATCCTTGTTTTATTGAAAAACAAATAAATATTTTCAACAGACTAATTACGGGATTGTTACTATACAACGTAACGCTGAATAATAAGAAAGTTGCCTTTGATCGCTCTTATGTATTGAAATGTAACAATAAAAGAAGATACTTTTTCAGGTGCAATTGTTACATTGTTGCCAACAATGTGTGTATGTGTAAGTTTGGTATAGTTTTTAAAGTTATAATTTCAACTTCAAACTGACACAACATTTTAATAAAAAGTTATAGTTAGATCCTGTATGTTTAATATTTATTTCAGTAAGTTTACGGTTTCTCACGATAACGCAACACAAAATGTCCCTTCACTGAACGACAGAATTTTAGGCCACCCAACTTTTACCGTTATTACAACTGCCATACGGTTCGACATCGTATCTTGGTCGTATCCTCAGTCCTACCCGTAGTGTTGTGCGTGATTGTGTTACATCGATAACAATATATTGGCAGGATCGATCGCCGCGACGTCTCGGATGGGGACCGAGTCGACCCAGAATTGTTAGATCGCGCGATGCGGCTTATCCAGTTGCAGAACCTAGACCGCATTTACTCCTACCACACCCGACCAAGGTACGATAGTCGATGTTTCTCCCCGCCCCCTTATCGATAACGCACACCGCACTATTTTATACTTCCACATCCAATGCATGACGTTTTTGTTTTAATTACGATCACATTTAGGTGATGTTTTATTGATTTTGCAATAATTATAGATTACAGCACTGGCTTCAGGTAGAAAAACAAACACATTTTGCGTTTACATTAGAAATGAATTATGATATAGGCATTGTGTAAGCATTGTTCGAGGGACCCACGAATACATATGTCTATCAAATATTTGTCCCCGTGAAATGTATTTGAGACATTGTTCGATTCACGATTTGGTTTCCTCACTATTTGCTTTTGTGGACCCAAAATTTGTAGTTACGGTTTGTTTAATGGGAATATTAATAGCCCAAAAGTTAGGATAAAATTAAACTCAAATAATTGCTGGTACTAGGTATATCGTAACTATGACTTTAGATAACTTGAATCAAATAAAGAATTAAAACTAGTTAACAACGTCAAAAAAGGGTTACTTGGGAACATCGAATGTACCTACTACTACTATTTCTATTTATTTATATTAACCGGCAGACAGTGGTGACTGAGTTTGTTGCGGCGCTTCTTCTCAGCACTTGCCAAATGTTGGTCTCGAAGCGCTGGTAGGGTAAAAAGATTATGAGACATGTAGAGGCTCCTTAAGAGCAAAATGACGATTTGTAAGAACTATTTATTAGTCCAAACAAATAAATAAATTTTGACTTTTTTTTGACTTTCATCATCATCAAATGTGAAGAAGCTAAATTCTATCGCGATTCGCCTGTTAAAATAATAAATATGAGTTGTATTTTTAATGCTTATCGTTCCTGGTATCGATCTTAAACAAATTAGGTATCAAGGAAAGATGAATCCAATCAATGTTGAAATATGACGTAATTCCAGTTATGCACTGATTCTTGAAAGATAATTTACAGAGGTATTTAAATAATTCATTGGAAACGATTTAATATTTTCTCAACAACAACAAAATGTATACCAAAATTTGAGATTGAATAAGCGTAAGAAGTGCAGACATCGCATCGCTACACAAATTAATTTATTTTAATTGAAAACGAGTCGCACACTCCGTTTATTAATACTTCAGGGCTGTTTCAGTTAATATCTGAGGGCTTTAAGCTCTGAACCAGGGATGTTATGGATATCCGTAACTGAAACTGAAACTTTCGGATATCCAAAATAAAAAAATATCCGAAACGTAACCATAACTGATTCAAAATGTTTCGGATAGTTTCGGATGTAGGCAGAGTCAATCAAGTCCTTACGCTGATTAAATTATTGCATTTTGAAGTACATGAGTTTTTTCCATAAGATAAAAGCTTTTTTGTGAGACCAAAAGAAGGTGACAGATGCCAAAAAAATCTTTTTTGTACCCTTTTTATTCGTAAGGCATGAACTGTGTTGGACAACTATTGCAATTTGCATTCTATAGCACAGATATCCGTGACCGTAACCGAAACTTTCGGATATCCGAAATAAAAAAAAATATTCGTAACCATAACCGAAACCGGTATATTAGTATTCCAATATCCGTAACCATATCCATAACCGAAACTACATATCCATAACATCACGACTCTGAACCGGAGCTTTAAAAGACTTGCAATATCCTGAGCACTCATTTTTTCTTTTATTCGTAACTAGTTAGACATGGTTCAGCTCAAAAGATTTCGGTTCGTCAAAGGAGTACTATAAGGACCCTTCGGGACTGTATTAATGGAACTATTTGGGAATAGAGTATCTTTTTGCTGATAAAAGATTTTAGAAGTGGATCAGTAGTAGTTTTGGAGTTTACTTCTTATTACCTACTCACAAAAGATTCGTAATATTACGTGTAGGAATAACGCAAAGTGTTCAAGTTCGTCACCTCATTTACCGAGTAACATACAAAAAGTGGTTAGCCTTATTGGCATACAAATACCATGTTTCTTTTTTATCACAAGAAAATATTAAGTTTCATTTCCGTAACATTGTAAATACAGTGTGAGTCACGTTAAAGTGTACATATGAAAATAGATGAAACTAGACCTATTTTTATCGACAAAAAAGTGGTCAAAAATTTTTTGAGATTTTTTTTAAATTTTTTATAGATTTTTTTTCCTTTCAAGTACTTATTGTAAAGAAATCGTAATAACTTTTAAACTAAGAGGTATATCCTGATAAAATAAAAACAGTGATAATGCTAAATAACAGGCGATACTAAAAAAATACATAAAATACTCAGAAAATGCCAACAAATAATAAAAAACGATACTTTTTGAAAAAAATTTGCTTAAAAATTCGTGTTTTTTTGGTTATTTGATAAATTTCTCTAAAAAATGCCCCTGTAAAAGGTGGTTTTTATTACTTTGAATTATTCTCTATCGTATTACCTTTGTAAAACCAAAAATCGCATGTCTCTATCCCTATCACAACATTTGCTATGATCGTTTGAACTAAGCCTCTCCGGGCGCGCCATTCAACGCTTCGCTAACAACGAAACTGAAAATGGCTCTAGATTTGTAATTTTGATAAAAACAAGTTAGATTTCAAGTAAAAACAAAAGATTTCGAAGTAAAATAAGCATTTTAGTTAAAATTAAAATTGTCCCTACCTGTAGAGGAGAATAATGTTGTGGGAGGCCTTTGTTCAAACTATCATAGCAAATGTTTTGATAGGGATAGAGACATGCAATTTTTGGTTTTACAAAGGTAATACGATAGAGAATAATACAAAACAATAAAAACCACCTGTTATAGGGGCATTTTTTGAAGAAATTTATCAAATAACCAAAAAAACACGAATTTTTAAGCAGATTTTTTTCAAAAAGTATCATTTTTTGTTATTTGTTGGCAATTTTTGTGTATTTTATGTATTTTTTTAGTATCGCCTGTTATTTAGCATTATCACTGTTTTTATTTTATCAGGATATACCGCTTAGTTTAAAAGTTATTACGTTTTCTTTACAATACGTAATTGGAAGAAAAAAAAATCTATAAAAAATTTAAAAAAAATCTCAAAAAATTTTTGACCTCTTTTTTGTCGATAAAAATAGGTCTAGTTTCATCTATTTTCATATGTACACTTTAACGTGACTCACACTGTATAGTACAACAAATGCTAACATTTCGTAAATTTAATTGTGATTACGAGTATAATTACGAAATATTATCAGTCAAGTGAACAGTCTAATTACCTAATGCCCACTAAATGCACGTTATAAGCACTGTAGTGTCTAATCCAGTGGTTCCCAAAGTTGTCTGGGCTACGACTCATTTAATACAAGTTCCCAAACCCGGGACCCACCTATAGGAAATTTAACCGTTACCAATATGCCTAAATAAAGGACTCGGAACTGTAGGGTGGTGTGTCGTTCTACAGGCAGGGCCCACTCAATGTTCGCTCGCGACCCACCACTGGGTTGCGACCCATAGTTGGGAAACCTTGGTCTAATCACGTAGCTAGGTGCCTAATCAGCTGTGAACTAAGATAGTGCAGAGATATCAAGGTGTATTAGAAGTCAAGGAGCTAGAAAGCCAATTAGGTCAGATTATTAGGCTGGAATAGTAGGAAATGTTAATGTTAATTCAATTATATGTAAAGTTGAAGTCATCAATTGAGAACAGTGGTAAGTATTCGTTTGAAAATTCAGAAGTGACATTTGTATTTAACTTGGTTAGTTGTATTATGAGATCAAATTAGATATTAAATAAATCCCGACGGTGTTAACTACAGATTCGTTGAGGTAAACCAAAGTAAAAACAATTTTGTTTTTGGTCAAGAAAATTCAATAATATTTTGGATCTAAATATTGTGTCAACCGTTAATTGTCTGACCCACGCTTACGAAGTCTGAGCTTTCAAATAAATAAATAAATCCATATTATAACGGTACCTGATAGCATTGGAATTCAATTTTCGTCACGTCCATTTATATTCAAGGCCTTTTTTCAATTCCACTATGTGGTCAGCTGGAGGCTTTTCAGCTAAAATTATTTGATCTCTCTTCGAATCAATGTCATGCGTAAAGTATCAATGCGTGGGTGACTAATATTTATAGGTGTCTACTTTCATCACACCAGATTTTAAATCAAATCAACTAAAATTATTGAGGATTGTTTTGATTTCTGATCCTGATCTGATCCTGCCCTGGCAGAAACCGTTTTTTTCCATCACATTTGGGACTTTGGGATATAAAACTTGTATCTACATCTACATACATACTTACTTACAAACATCCTTACATCAAGCTAATTCTCTCCTTATTAGATAGGGTAAAGAATTGATGCTTTTCCAATACGTAATCTATCTCTATTTCAAATATCATCAAACTGGCACCGTGGTAGCGTGAAAACGTAACAAACGTGAATTTCTTTGGCATTATTTTGTAATGTTTAGCAAATTTTTTCGTTATCTTATGCCCATATTCACAAACGATGCTTGCTTAAGTGAAGCAGCAAATCGAACGCACAGCGTTGAATAGAGCTTTGCGATTGGTTCGTGTCACCCTGTGCGTCCACGCGCACTGTGAGACATAGTAATGTTTGTGAATACGGGCGTTCGACCGTTTAAGATTTTTATTCAGTGTAACATTTTCCATTTTGTTACAGGTTCGGCAAGCGATCGGATGCGTTCACAAACTGGGCTAAGGATCTCGAAGTAAGTTTATTTATTTGGGATTACGTCACTGTTTGACATCAATTTAACCTTTTAAACGGAAATGCGTGACACATGCCTTTCGTTTTGGGAACTACTACCTGGAATCGTATGTTTAGTCTATAATACAATTTCGTAGTAGTTTACGTAAATGTCAGGAGTTTAATAATTTGCTTCATTACCGGGTTACGTAGTTACATGACCGAAATAAAAAATGGATGAGTAAACGATCTATTAGACCTACGTTTAATTAAACTTTGTTTCATGACAAACTTCCAGGGTTGAAATATAAAAATAAAAGAAACATAATTTTAAAAGTTTTTTCTACATTGATATTTCCAAACGTACATTTTGGATTGTGAGAATTAGAAATCATTTAGAATTTCAATCAGATTTTACTTATAGCAAAATTATTAAGTAGGTTATTGGGTTATTACCAAAATCTTTAACTCGTGTTATAAATTAATTACTCTCCAAACATTTTCAAAAGATCTGAGAAACAATTTTGTAACGTCCTTACAAAGTGTTACATTAAAGTGTTGATTGATCAAAGAAAAATAATCTCTTTACGTTAATTACTAAAATGTAGACGCTCTAATTAAATGCAGTAGGTGTTACACTAATCAAGGTGGATTCAGTGGGTTTAAAGTTTAAACCAAGGATCAAAGTCAATAAATAAAACGAAGTTTCTAACTAAATCATAACTTCATGCGTTTTTATCAGTAAAAAAAAAGTGAAATAATTACGTCACCAAAAACTATTGTGTATTTTAGGCACAAGGGATTGTATAAAATTAAAATTACTCGTATACGGAAAAAATCAACAAAACAGCTAAACAAACAATTCAATGTGTTACGAGCCAAAGTAAGAATTATAAGTTTGTAAAAACCAGATAGGTTTTGACGCTTAATTTGTAAGGAGACATGTAAATTCTAATTTTCATAAGATTTTCCGCTGATTTTATAGATTTTTTAAATGTTTTTTTCAAAAACCTCATAGATTTGGCAGAGTTTTCTCAGAGGCAGAGTGCCTACTGAGCCTACACTTATTGTAGCTTATTTGATGATTTGAATGAACAGGTACGTATTAATCACATTAACCACCCAGGCTTATTAAATTTGTAGAGCCCTTTATAATCAAATTCCACTGGATCTAGTAAAGCATAGTCCAACAAATTAAGTTGGCGATTGGAGGATATTCAGTTAGCTAGTTACGCGTGGTTGTGATTTACTTTTTGTGAAGTCCTGTAAAGATACACGAGGGAATTTAAAATAGTAACATTGGATACGATGTTTTTAATTTAATTGACCACGGCTTAAACATTCCCGTTAATTGGCAGCGTACGGCTTACCACAATATTGAATTAATACTTTGACTTCGAAAGATTTATCACGACAAAATGAATCCTGGAATTCGAATGAATATATTCATTGCATTGGAAAGTTCTGGAATGATGACAAAAGAATATCGAATAGACTTGAAGCAATAATAAAATTGAATCGCTAACTCAAAAGTGGCGGTTTTCAATAACGCACCCACTTTATAGGTTACAGTTAAGTGTAGCCTTAAGATGTGGAATAGAACTGAATAATATACCAATATCGCGTTTATAGCCGCCTACGGGTTTATGAATGCTTAACAATATCGCTGCAATATTGATATTCGAAATTAAGTATCAAGATACTTTAATATCTTTAACAATGGCACATAGAGCTACAGCAATGCTTCATCTATTAAATATAATACATAGGTACATACATTACTTTAAACAGAAAAATACAAAGTTGAATTTTATAAAAATAATATGTCAGCTAACATATTCAGGCCAAATAGATCATTAGATTTTGATAGTACCTAGTTGAAATGTAGAGATTTTATCTTTAGCGCGTAATAGGGAACAATATTATGAAGCGTATAATGACCCTTTAAGGCTAAGTCTTAAACGTTTTGTATTCTATAATTTATTAATAAATATTGTGGCATGTAAAATCAAGAAAAAACCTGTATGGACTTATTCAACTATTTCATACCTTTGAAAAAATACCTTGAGACGAGATTTTGGCTGAATCTGGCGGATTACTTTTAATTACTATGTAACAAAGTACTGACGTACGAAGATTATTACATTCAAAAACGTATCTTAAAATCACGGTACGGGTAGATTATTCGTTACTTAATAAGGAATTTAGATTACTTATGATATTTCCATCGAGAATTAAGCCAGCCGTTAAATACATTGTTATTAAGGCGCAGAGTTAACGACGATTTATAAACACATTCAGAGCTTCAGTTTTATTGCTTTAATAGTAGTTATTTGATAGCCTAAATAATTATTTGCGATTTATTTACATCCAAATTTATATACAACTAGCTGACCCGGCGAACTTTGTTCCGCCTTAATGGCAATAAATAAGCAGACTTTTTTTTTGTTTCGAACGGGATAAAAAGTATCCTATGTCCTTCTCCTGGCTCTAAACTACCTCCCTGACAATTTTCAGCTAAATCAGTTCAGCCGTTCTTGAGTTATAAGCGAAGTAACTAACACGACTTTCTTTTATATATATAAATATAAGAATATACTCGTAAATATAGATTTATCTAAAAGTTGTTATGGCTCTCAACTGTTTGATGATATTAATTATAAATCGTTCATTCGTCAATAACTTACAAAGCTTTTAAGCTTCGCATTTAATTACAAAACAAAGGAGTCTGTCAAAAACATCATACTAGATTAGATTATCAAAACTTAAATAGAAAATATTGATTGAACCAAAATTAAATGGTAAATTCGATCATACATTAATTAGGTATACCTAATTAGCTACCTATACCGATAGATATTGAAATTGTAAAAGGAGAATCATTAAATGATAAATGAATCAATCAATCAATTTTATTGATTGTTTTTATGGTTTTTACAAAATTATTAAGAAGATTCTATAACATTGTAGTTTAATTTCAATGTATTTTGATTTGTGTAACTAGGTGTATTAGCTGGAGTAGGCTATGTTTTTTTTAAGTAAATGATTAGCATGGCAAAAATGGTAGGATGTTGAGGAATATGAATATTGCGACACGATATTGTGGTCGGTCGTTGACAGTTTTATGAAATCGTTCATCTCCTGGGAATATGTTGGCAGAAATATTTCTTCGAACTACATAGATTTACGAGATAAAATAACGATTATAGTATTAATAGTTGTCTAATATTAGATGATGCAAAAGAAATAGTGATTCCAGTGATTCTTTTCATGCGTTGGATTACATAATAGGTAGTAGGTACTTTTGAGAAATATATTTTTTTTACTTACGAAATCATTTGTCTTCAGGCTTTTTTCAGAAGGTTTGGGTATAACCGTGGACTGACACTGGCTGAAATGAGGACAAATTATATTTAGATAAATTAGTCTGAAACTCTTATAATACATTGTACTTAATGAAACAACAAGTGAAATAAAAGTAAAATCATGCAATATTTCACAGCATTTAACCTGACTTGCTGACTGAAAAGGACTGATGCTCGCTGAATGCTGTCAAAGCAAACCTCGTTAGCTCATGCTGCGGCCTAGATATGTCAATGGGTGCAGTTTGATATGAATTTTGAAATAGGAAACCTGACATTGGGGAATGGGGACAAAGCTCAGCAGGTTCATGTGTGCATTTATAGTTTTAATTTTCAATAAATGAAAGATGCATTGAAATGTACTTACTTACCTACTACTTAAAACTCGTAGGTACAAACGCAATAGATAAAGGCTTAGAAAGAAAAACTTTAAAAAATTTAATACGAATCACAATAACGACAAACTGGCCGGTGTAAAGAAAATCCTCGATTTCTAAATCCTTAACATTTTCATATGTTCCATAACTTTTGGCTACGTATTTCAAATACAGATTTTAGGCCGTCATCGTTTGCAAACCTTCAAAATATAATGTTGATTTATTTGTTTTGTTCCAGAAGCCGGACTTACCCGCTTGGTTGGCGTACGCCAGAAGGAGATGAGGGGCGCAACAGCTGCCGGGTCTATAAGTCACTATCAATGTTCATGATCACTACACTATGTACCGGACTCAATGTTAATACCGTTAATATTACACCTCTTTCTGTCGTTCATGTTACACTCGTTGTCTCTGTTATCATGTTCCAAATTCAAATTTTTGAAATATAAAAAGTAACTTTTTAATTTAGAATAGATTTCATTTAGAAGTTTACTTTTTAAATGTTTAAATGGTTTCCATTTCAATAAATAAATAGGTTGATTGAAAATAGGCTGGCATTTCAATCTCTTCTATTGTTTTAATTAATTATATTTATTATCTGTGGTGCTTTTGTACTTAGCTGTTCATCTTTATTTTAATTTGTGAAATTCTAGTCAAAACGATAGCATTTCTGTGCTATCTTCTGAAAACAATTTGTGCCAAAGTTATCTTTTACTTTTACAAATAATGATTTTTCTTGGAAAAACCTCTCGATTCAGAAGTAAGTATTTTAATATTATTGTTTCTATAATGTAACCCAGTCGATCAATCCCATAGTCATTAGGTATTCATAGAATCTTTTCTGTAAGTTTAAGAATTATTATGTCATAATATTTGAACCAAAATAATTGTACCTTTACGGATAAAATATCATTGTAACGTTATGAATGAATAAAAGCAATTAAGAAAACGAAATATTAAATTGTTCGTTTTATTACCCTTATTTTAAAGACAATGCAAATTTTTAAAAGATCATATATATAAATTGGGCCATTACAGTAACAGAAAGTTTAGTAGTTATTATATGAACTTTTAGTCAGGTACCCACATAATCAAGAACTCGAAACCAAAATTTTTCATCAGAATTAAGTAATATCTAAGTATACTTAGGTATAATAAATCTGTAGAGAGGTCAATTCTGTACATGAAATATATTTTCAAAATAACTATCAGGAGGTGATTAGTGATCGTTACTGATGCCAAAAATGCAATCAGTAAAATTTTTGTCTGTTGTCTGTCTGTATGTTCCTTATAGAAACAAAAACTACTCCACGGATTTTAACGAAACTTGGTACAATTATTCTTCATACTTCTGGGCAGGTTAAAGTATACTTAGGAATTCCCACGGGAACAGGAATTAGCGGGAAAATCCTTTTGTATGAAAATTCTAAACCGTTTAAGTTAGTCGCTTGAAATTTGGCATGCAGGTACCTTAGTAAACTTAAAGCTTAGTTACAACAGGATATTGCCAAATTCCCACGAGAACGGGAGTTAGCGGAAAAAAACTTTTGTATGAAAAAATCTAAACCGCGTAAGATAGATGAAGGGGGTAAAACGGGATCAACACGTACGAAGTCGCGGGCGGCCGCTAGCTTTCTAAAACTTTGATATTGTGTGAATAAAATTGTATGTTTCTGACAAATTCAATTGGTAACAATGAAAATATATTACCCTACATTATCATTTATAAAATATGAGCAGTCAAGTCCAAGGCTTCGTTCTCGTATTAATAGACACACCTAAGACAAATAATAACTAACTATTTACCTGTAACCTAATAAAATTTTATTCTGTAACTGAAGAAAATGAAAGCTTTAGGTAGTTATTATAAAAAAATAATTAATGATGGAACTGAAAAACTGCAGTCACAACTACCTAAGGGTTACGTACCGGAAAGTGAAGCATAGTATATCCACCCATTAAGTGGACCGACGAAAATAAAGGTAGCAGGACGGCGCTGGATGCAGAGTGCTACCAACCGGTAATTATAGAAATCATTGGGGGAGGCCTATGTTCAGCAGTGGATGTCCTATGACTGAAATGATGATGATGTGTGTATCTAAGTAACGTACAAAAATCTAGATATTGTTTAACTTATAAAGTCGTAAAGTCCTACGAGCGAATTATGTAAGATTTTGTACTTACTTACCTTAATTTATTGAAAGTCCTTCAATAGGAATAAAGAGAGCAGTTATTTCTTTTCAACTCAAATAACTCAACGAAGTTTATTCCGGCATCCATTGAATCCACAAAGTTCAAAGAAAGAATGTATTTGTAGTAAGTTTGCTCGGCAAATAAATAATTGTGCATACAAAGAAAACCCGTTTCGTAACAGTTCGTTTAGTACTTTGAAGAGAAGATAAAAAGCAATGAAATAAGTGGATGAGCTGATTTTTTGTCATGTCTAGGGCGAGAGAAAAATTGTATGAAATATGGGAAAATATTTTTCTTTCAATAGTTTTATCAAGATTTTCTTTCTAAGCCTAGACCACCGATTTTTTGTCGGCCGATAGTTTAGTCGGGCAGTAAAATCAGTATGGAGATGTATGAAAGTGCGCACATTACACCGATTGGGTATCGGCCGATTCTTCATACAAAAGAATCGGGCCCAACTATCGGCCAATTAAAAATCGGTGGTCTGCACCTAGGCTTAAGGCGTTAGCTGTGACCAACGCAATCCAACTCCTAGTTTAAAATAAAGAATGTACCTATTTATATTCAGAACAATATCATTCCTATTGTTTCAAACCTGTACTGTAGGTAACTAGTTACTACGAGTATTGAAAGTGGGTCAAATAAGTAACAGTGTTTCATCTATCAATCGAACTTGAATTTTCTGTGCTCTGAAAACTACTAAACTCAAATCACTAAATTGAGATAGATTTGAATCTTCTTTTATAAACAAACTATTTTTATGGATGATCGTTCCTAGTTTCTACACGCGTTAAGCTTTTAGGAGTTAGGATCCCAAAGAACTTTATTACTTATTAGTTGTGAGGTCTTTTTATGTTTTGTTTTTTTTTTTGTTTTGGTGACAAATAAAGTTTTATTTAATTTAGTTTCAACTTAACTGAGCAATATCATTGATAATAATTATCTTTTAAATTCAAGTCTAATTGTTAATGCAAAATCCTTTTGAGAATAATGAACGATCCAAAATTGGTCCGGTGAGGGTAGGTACGTATTAAAACACCTGATACTGTGTTACCATCTTTATCTTTCCTATTAATAAGATTTGTGTCAGTACATCGAGGTATCATACTTAACGTGACTAGCTTATTTTAAGCACAGACATAAATTTCATTTCAACATACGCCATGACACTTTATACATTTTAAATTGACGAAATCCTCTGCACAAGCACCTAGTTTCATACAACCGTACATTTACACATATTTGGATAGTGCTTATTTAGTAATATTTATTTATACAATCAGATTTAAAATGGCCGAGAAGAGCGTTTTAATGCAGAAACCAGATTGAAAATAAACGTAATTTCTGAACTTAATATATTATACAAACTAACAATTTAGAAGCGTCATGTAGCGCTGCAATACGACTGTTTCACAATTTATTATCTTGTTTATTTAGTTAATGCCAATTGACTTTAAAGATTTTGCAAACTAATAAATGACCGATTAACATTGACACCGACCAAAAATCGTGTAACCAACTAATCGCTAATTTTGCGGTCACAACTTAGTGAGGCAAAAGTTTAGACTAATAAAATTGTGCAATGGCTTCGTTTACAAAAAAAAATCTTACAATTGAATTAAAGCGAAGTTCAAATTATAAACCTTTGCTCATTAATTACGAGTAGATACATCCAGTGGTGAAATGTTGGAAAACAATCAAATACAGGCTCGAGTTAACCTTGCCTGCCCTTTCTGAATACGGGCATGAAACTGTTGAGGCGTAGCGGTTTACAGTTTTGCCACTAAGTGACAATGGCAAGTCTTGCCACTTCTAATACTTCCATCAAGGTTGAGTATAAAGATAAGCCGGTAGTAGCGGTTAATTATTTTCAGAAAAGATTGGCAGAAATTGCAAAAATATTTTATATTATCTAACTATAATTACATTTTCAGGGATATTGTTTCCCGACCACAGAAACAGACAAGTATTACACAAAAACTCTTATTTCACTCATATTTTAACTAGGTATATAATTACTTTTATATTTCGCATTTTAAGACTTTTAATTATATGAATTTAATCTTTATTTTCATCTGTCATTATAACTAATCTATTGGTAAATCTAGAGAAGAAGTGGTGTTATTTTTAAGGACACTCGGAAGTTAGATAGAATTTCCTGATCTAATCTAAATTACAATTTGACATTATTCAAGGCGAACTTTTGTGGTTACGAAAAGTTCACTCATATTTTCGCACATCTAAAGAGACTACAGAATAAGAAATTGCTAATTCAACGATACAGCAAACATACTTTCAGTGTGTACCGAGATTAATTTGGGCATGATGCTTATTTATATTCGATCTAATTTACCTACGTTTTTACCTGTTAAATGCATAATTTTAATAATTTATCGTAACATGTACAGTACGTGATGTACTATCTAATTAATAAACAGGTAATTAATGATGATGTTTTATTTATTTATTTAATCATCAGCACACAAACTAACAATACACTGTGGCGGACTTAATGCCGGATGGCATTCTCTGCCAGTCAACCACGGGTCATGCAGAAAGAGTAAGGCGGTGCAAAAAATTTACATTTATGATGATAAACCTACTTACATAAGATTACACAAAATAAATAACATAATACAAATAAATATAAAAGACATACACATAAATACATAAAATAATAATATTATAGATGTACACATCACTCATGTCTGAGATAGTGAGAAAATGGAGAAAAAAGGTCATTCCTTGAAATGTTTGCGCAGAGCCTTTTTGAAAGTAGTAGTTTTAGCAACAGGCAGGACTATAACTTCTTGATTACCTTCAAGATAAATTTTTTTGACTTTAAAACTTACGGAAGTTACTTTGAATAATATGGTGATTTAAATATTTCAAGTAATGATTAGATTAAAAACGTTTGCTGTATCATTAAGATTCAACTTCGAAATTAAATTATCTAGANGATCTAAATTACAATTTGACATTATTCAAGGTGAACTTTTGTGGTTACGAAAAGTTCACGCATTTTTCGCACATCTAAAGAGACTACAGAATAAGAAATTGTTAATTTAATGATACAGCATACATTAGCAATTGTGTAGATTACTACCTAGTACCAAAATAAAAGATTATTGAGATTTATGGGTGATGACCTCGAAGATAATCTGAAAGCTAAAGCGAACTATAACTTTGAAAACAATCATAAAATATACATTTCATTCCATTAATCTTGTGCTAATTTGAAAATTTTGGCCATCACGAATATATTTTGACATCAGGTAAATTTTGAAAATCGTATATAATTATCTGTCCATGATTTACTTATTGTGTAAGTACTTACGCTGAGTTTCAGTAGCAGGCAGGAATATAATTTCTTGACCGTCTTCAAAACGTAATGTTTTGTATTCACTTAAGCACCTAAGTAGTTACTCTGAATATTTTGATTCAAATTATTACAAGTAATCAAATCAAAAATGCTTGCTGTATCATCAAGTTTCAACTTCGAAATTAAATTATCTAGACAGCTACAGTAAGAGACTACGATTTACATACAATAGATACAGAAGACGATAGATTAGACGGATGGAAATTCTGGGGCATTAGCATTACATTACATTACTATAGAACACTATAAGAATTCACTATCTGTATACTAAGGGATAAATAATTTACTCTAGGGAACGAAATGGGAAAGTTTTAGTTTACACACTACGATTTTGGCAACATTCATCCTATTCAACTTTTTACATAAATTAGTACAAAAGAATAAATATATCTTAAAATCTAGCTAGGGCTACCATGTAGACATAGAAAGTGCTAAGGTTGGTAGTTCTAAATATCAAAATGTTTTTTTTTTAAGTTCTGAAAATAATTTTCGACTAGGTAGTAATTGGGTAGCCCTTTATAATTCTAAGCTACTTTAGCTGCTATCTTCTAGCCCTTCTAGTTTTTTACCCAGCATCTTCTACAAGCATTCTTCTTCATAATCCAGACCAATGCAAAGTCTACGAAGCCAACTATCTTTTTCTACACTGTAATACAATGTCTTAAGAAACAAAATTTGGAACTTCGGGCTTTGAGCAATTGGACAAAAGACATCCACACATCCATTGAATTTGTAGTCACAGCGCATAATAATATCTTAATAATATTAAAGTTACAGCTTACGTTAATATTTACAAAAGACACACAGTCGTAACTTATTAAATTATAGATACCTACTTACAAACAATAAGTGCATTAGGTACATCGTTCTAACAATCAACAATTACGTGCATAGAAATTGCCGTGTCAGGTCGAGATATTAACAATCATAATACATACAGGTTAGTGGCATGAGTGTGTTACAAAAATATTCACTGAAGTCTTTATCTTACATATTACATAACAATAAGGTTTATAATGACCGGTTGTCGTTAGTTGTGTTTTGTGTTTGTGCAAGTATAGTTATCCTGTTGTGCACTTGTAACTTATCCTCTATTTTTGAAGGATCATCATCAGAACCCTCTTTGAGTAGTTCCCAAAGATTGTTCTTATCCAGAATTTCGAAGCCACCTTTATTTTCAGGGGCAATGTCTGACTTTACTGTGTCAGATAAAGTTTTAGATGTCTCGGATATTGGCGTCGAAGGTATTTTATGGATCTCCTTATTTATTGATTTTAGAGTTTTCACTGTACGCTTTTCAGTGCTTATGTTTTTTATTTTTGTTTTGTTTATTTTGGCATCGATATTATCTGTTTCATTCTTTTTGGCAATATCCGTTGTGTGGTTTGATTCTAATCGTGGCTTTTTGATCTGCGTCAATGCTTTAGGTTTTTTAGTTCGGTAATGTATATTTTTGATATTGCTGTTAGTGATTGCTGTAATTGTGTGTGGTATTGTAGACGTTTCTAAATGTTCCTTGTGATGTGTTTCGGCTTTTGTAACAATTACTTTTTCTTCTTTTACAATATCAGTCGGTTTCGATTCATTGATAACTTTGGCAATATCGTTAGAATTCTTTTCGGTTACTGGAATATTCGTTGTTTGTATTTCCGATTTAATTATAGTTATATTTGAGTTTTGGAAAATTATTGGTTTATTTATTTTTACGGGGGTCATGGTATGAATACTCAAGGATTTTGTTTTTTCAAATATTTTTTCTCCATACGTAGCTTTCAAGGTTCCCTTTCTGCGAGGTAGAGGTTTCTTTTTTATTTCCTCCTTTTTATACAATGGTTTTGATAGTATTTTTTGTACAATTAGTTCTCCGCCCTGCTTTGGCACTAAAGGAACGATATTACTTTCAACTTTGGCCACATCGGAATAATTGACATAAGTAGCAGTTGGAATGATGATTGGGTCTGTATTATCTTCTGTTGTTGAGATTGAAATGTTCAATAGTTTAGCATTTATTGTGGTCATCACTTCTGCTGTTGTTGTTTCTGGTTCCTTAGTTTCTGGTGATATTGTAGTAGAAGTTGAAATTTCACCTTTCGTTACCTCTTCAATTGGTTTATCTGTAGTTTTTGCAATTTCTGTTGTCGTTGTCATTCTGTTAGTTACAGGCGTTGTACTTTCAACTTCTGTATGCTCAGTTGTTGTTTTCTCTTCTTTCTTATCTACTTTGGTATCTTTTGAGTCCTCTATCATATGGTCAGTTGTTGTAACTTTTTCTTTTTTGTCATCAGCTGTATCTTTTGAGTCCTCGTCAGATTTATTTTCACTTTTCCTGAACTCATAATCTCGGCTGCAGATGCGTCCACATTCGCAAATGTTGTCAATGCTAGCTGTAGTTTGGAGACTGGCAAGTTCTGTTTTATCAAACCAAGTGATGAAGTCATCATCAGTGATGCCTCTGAGCAAGGGGCTGCCTGGTCTAGCATGGAAGAAGGTTTCTACAGCCAGATCTGGTCGGGTAGATGGATATATTTTGGCAAAGGCTGGTCGTAGACTTGTGATGATGAATTTCGATCTTGCTTCGTAAGTTACGCAGACCGGGCATGTTGAGCTAATCTGTAAGAAAATACAAACAAATATTATGTAGTAAAATCGTCCAAGGTTACTAAAATGCTTATCATGGAGATGGCATAAANTAAAATGCTTATACTTACATTGGCAAACACGAACCACACTGACTCGCCCCGTGACCCATAGTGAAGGTCAGCAAAGGTGGCGCCATCTAATACCACGGGGTTCACAGAGTGAAGCTCATATCCAGAGAACAGAGAAGATTCCAGACGAAGTATCCCAGAGCGCTCTTTGCCTTTCCATCTGAAAAGAAATTCGATTGTACAGATAAAGCCAAGCTAGAATATCATACCATCAATAGCCTACTGAGCATAACTGATTAACCAATCGTTGGAATTTACAGACAGATGATATTAAAATTAATAGGGTTTTAAACCATAATTTAAATCATACATATTCTTTTCACAAGTAAAATGTAGAAATTCCTGGTAAGTTTTGTAAACTTACTTGAAGCAGGTCTTGATGATCAAAGTAGGTAAGTTGCCCTGTAAATCTTCAATACTGCTCCGTTCGGGTCGTATCTCTTCAATAATAGCTGCCTGGATGTTCAGCAGTGCGTTTTCAGGTTTCGGAGTGTACGTTGAATAGGATATTGTGCCCTGTAAAATGAACGATTATGTATTATTTATTAACACTAGAAAGGCCGCCGTCCCATTTTTGTCCCACTCGTGAGTTTGATCGTCTCTAACTTTTTTATTTTTCAACGAAAGTCCATGAAACTTTTTGACTTTTACTGATTTATTGAATTTTATCATTTTTCAATGTTTTTGATAATATAACATTAATAGATTTTTTTTTAAATCGGTTTTACCTAGAAGCGCCGCTGGGTCATTTTTGTCCCACCCTAGTATTTGCCACAATAATTCGATGAAGAGTCCTTATTTCTAGGAGATACGAAAGTGGAGAGGTGAGGAGAGTTTAGTTGACTCGTGACAATGCAGAAATGTAAATATATTTTACTAGTTTCTGCCTGTGACTTCACCCGTGAGAAATTAAGTTTATCATAGAAATACCTAATTTCTTGACACTTATCGTTGCTTCTTGACCAAATATCTGAATATTATTGTAAATTATAGCCTATATTATGTTATTCTGAAGTACTAACAATAAAACTGCAAAGTTTTATTAAGATCGGCTTAGTATTTTTTGCGTAAAAGAGTGAAAAAACATCCATCGATTTAACCATGAATCCATACTCACTTAGTTCAAGTTCCAGGCATATATCCACCCATTCATTCTTCTTATCCATTCATCAGTCCATCCATCCTTCAATTCATCATTAATTATTAACTTTTACATTTATAATATTATTAGGAAGGTGGCTTCTAGACATAAGCCAGTTCATACATTGTATGATTTGATACATTTTTAAAATGTGTGACTTATAAAATTTTTAATATTAAACGTATACTTTTCATTGTAATTGGTAAAAAACTTCACTGTTTGTGTACAGATAACAGAAAAATAACCATACCTATAGAAATTCCTAAACACATAGTACATCAGAGAGACAAAAAACCATACAAAAAAACTTTGTGCAAAATGTGCACTATTATTTGTAAGATATTTATTTTTCCTTTAAAAATAATAATGACTAGTTAAAGTAGTAATTTCATTATTTTAATACAGTATAACACCACGTAATATGTGACTATTTTTAAATGAAATCAAAAATATCTGACTTTTAATAATTGAAAATTAAAATTGAATACATTTATATTTTTAAAGGAATAAGTACGTATTGATTTAACTACATAGATAAACCTTTTTTTAAGGATACTACAAATAGTTTTAATCATAATATTCATGCCTGAAACTAAAAAATGTTACAAAATATATGCTGGGACAAAATTGACCCAGCGGCGCTTTTAGGGGGGTCGTAATGTTCGGCACTTCTAGTGTTAAGACCAAGACAAACCCACGCGTGGTGGGCACATTATATGGGAAATGATTATAAATACATAACATTCTTTTACGGATAATCATAGTTTGCAAAACTCAAACTAGCTAGAAAGCTAAATATCGATTTAGATTTAGAGCTAGAGTAGCAACAAACTCACAAAAAATAAATTCTTCTACAATCTCAAATATCTCGACTTTCGATTTCATTAAAAGCCATTGAGCTGTGCAATGTGTGTTGAAGGAGTGGAGGAGCCATGGCTACCTTCAGTCCATGCTGACCGTATTCTGATACACAGGAGATAATGTAAGTATACTGCGATACGATAAGGACCCAATATCTATAGAAAGAAAAGCTACACACCTGAACAGTAGCACAGCCAGCTCCCGTAGCGTAGACAAAAACTTTAGTAGGCAGGCCGGGCAGTTGCAGCGGCCTTGGCGGCGTCCGGGCGCGGAGTTCCAGAGTATCTGTTAGCTCCATACCGGCTGTAGCCAGGGACACCGTGAGGGCTCGATGTCTGATGAAGAAAGATGAGATTGTATTTGAAACGGCTATTGAGTACTTTTTAGTATCTAGTTAAAGGTAGCAGGAAGCTGGACGCAGGCCGCTACCAACCGGGCAACATAGAAAGCATTGGCCTATGTTCAGCAGTGGACGTCCTATGGCTGAGATGATGATGATGATGATCTAGTTATCATATTGGTGCATTTCTTAACGCTACAACAAGGAATGCCATCGGTGGATAAGTTTTGCAACTCAAGACAACGTCGATTTATACTAACATCATTCTTTGGAGATATAAAAGAAAAAAAGGGTTTTCCGTTATGGGCCAACCGTGTGCTTACATATCATGAGCCAAAGCAGCATACTGAGCCGCAGCCTTCGTAGAAGTTTCGCCTATATAGTGCTATGAAGGCTGCGCTACGAAGGACGCTACAGAGTCATCCTTACCTCTGTAGCATCGAGGCTCGGTAGCATAGGAATTGTGTACTTACCTATCATGAGCCACAGCGGCATACTGAGCCGCAGCCTTCGTAGCACTATAGGCCAGACTGGGGTGCCTCTGTAGCGTGGAAGCCCGGTAGTACAGGAACCTTGCCGCAGCTTCTCCTTCGGCTAGAGCGGTAGTATAGGAAGATAGGAACCGTGTGCTTACCTATCATGAGCCAAAGCGGCATATTGTGCTGCAGCCTTCGCTCGTAGCACTAAATCCAGGCTGGGGTGCCTCTGTAGCTTCGAGGTCAGGTAGTATTGTTACTTGGGTAGGAACCGTGTGCTTACTTATCATGAGCCAAAGCAGCATACTGGGCCGTAGACTTCGTAGCACTGTATAAGCCGAGCTGGGGTACCTCTGTTGGGTCGAAGCCTGGTAGTACAGGAACCTAATTTAAATTGGTCGTGTGCTTACCTATCATGAGCCAGAGCGGCATATTGTGCTGCAGCCTTCGTAGCACTATAGGCCAGGCTGGGGTGCCTCTGTAGCGTCGAGACTCAATAGTATAGCAACCGTGTGGTTACCGCTCATGAGTTAATGCGCGGTTCAGTATGCTACTGAGCCGCAGCCTTTGTAGCAGTTTGGCCTACAGTGCTACGAAGGCTGCGCTACGAAGGACGCTACAGAGTCATACTTACCTCTGTAGCATCGAGACTCGGTAGTATAGGAACCGTGTGCTTACCTATCATGAGCCAAAGCGGCATACTGTGCTGCAGCTTTCGTGGCACTATAGGCCAGACTTGGGTGCCTCTGTAGCGTGGAATCCCGGTAGTAAAGGAAACTCGTCGCGGCTTCTCCTTCAACTAGAGCGCCGCGGTCGCACGGTGCTAGAAGAACCTGGACTCCGGCCATGTACTGTTCCATCGTAATACTGCTTCTTGATACTTGGAAGTTGACATACCTATCATGAGCCAAAGCGGCATACTGTGCTGCAGCCTTCGTAGCATTATAAGCCAGGCTAGGGTGCCTCTGAAGCGTCGAGGCCCGGTAGTAAAGGAAGCTCACTGCCACCCCAGTGTTCTATTGTTACTGCTTCTTAATACTAAAAGATGACTTACCTATCATGAGCCAAAGCGGCATATTGTGCTGCAGCCTTCGTAGCACTATAGGCCAGGCTGGGGTGCCTCTGTAGCGTGGAATCCCGGTAGTAAAGGAACCTCGTCGCGGCTTCTCCTTCGGCTAGAGCGCCGCGGTCGCACGGTGCTAGAAGAACCTGGACTCCGGCTATGTAATGTTCCATCGTTACTGCTTCTTGATACTTGAAGTTGACTTACCTATCATGAGCTAAAGCNTTGCCCTGCAAATCTTCAATGCTACTCCGTTCAGGTCGGATCTCTTCGATGATAGCTGCCTGGATGTTCAGCAGAGCGTTTTCAGGTTTTGGAGTGTACGTTGAATAAGATATTGTACCCTGTAAAATGCATGAAAAAATATTATCCATTAAGTCTAAGACAAACCAAGCACGGTAGGGTCAAAATTACGTTACATGATTTTTTATTTACGTTACTTCATGCAGAGTTAAGATTTTAAGAAGCTTATGCCTGTTTTCACCATCAATTCCTAATTTGTAAGTGACCTCTATGGTAACAATTTGTTATCAAATAACAGAAATTTTGTTTATATAGGGGTCACTTAAAAATTAGGGATTGATGGTGACAACGGACATTAAACTCACAAAATTGCTTTTTCATCATGATTCGATATGAGACTCTATAATTGAAAACCATTAAGGCCTCGACATAATGTTGGAATGCCGGGCAATTGCAGCGGCCAGGATGTAAACCTTGTTAGGAGCTCTTATGCTTTTATTCTTATTATTATATCCCATGCCGTACAAAATAACTATTGGAGGTAAATCTACACACCTGCACAGTAGCACAGCCAGCTCCCGTAGCGTAGACAAACACTTTCGTGGGCAGGCCGGGCAGTTGTAGCGGCCTTGGCGGCGTCCGGGCGCGGAGTTCCAGAGTATCAGTTAGCTCCATACCAGCTGTAGCCAGGGACACCGTGAGGGCTCGATGTCTGATGAAGAAAGATGAGATTGTATTTTAAACGGCTATTGAGTACTTTTTTAGTATCTAGTTAAAGGTAGCAGGAAGGCGCTGGACGCAGGCCGCTACCAACCGGGCAACATGGAAAGCATTGGTGTGCTTACATATCATGAGCCAAAGCGGCATACTGTGCTGCAGCCTTCGTAGCACTGTAGGCCAAGCTGGGATGTCTCTGTAGCGTCGAGACTCGATAGTATAGCAACCGTGTGGCTCATGAGTTAATGCGCGGTTCAGTATGCTACTGAGCCGCAGCCTTCGTAGCAGTTTGGCCTACAGTGCTACGAAGGCTGCGCTACGAAGGACGTTACAGAGTCGCCCTTGGCTCTGTAGCATCGAGACTCGGTAGTATAGGAACCGTGTGCTTACCTGTCATGGGCCAAAGCGGCATATTGGGCCGCAGCCTTCATAGCACTGTAGGCCAGGCTGGGGTGCCTCTGTAGCGTGGAAGCCCGGTAGTACAGAAATCTCACCGCATCTTCTCCTTCGGCTAGAGCGGTAATATAGGAATATAGGAACCGTGTGCTTACCTGTCATGAGCCAAAGCGGCATATTGTGCTGCAGCCTTCGTAGCACTATAGGCCAGGCTGGGGTGCCTCTGTAGCGTCGAGGCCCGGTAGTACATGAACCTCACCGCGCTGCTTCTCCTTCAGCTAGAGCGGTAGTATAGGAACCGTATACTTACCCATCATGAGCTAAAGCGGCATATTGTGCTGCAGCCTTCGTAGCACTGTAGGCCAGGCTGGGGTGCCTCTGTAGGCTTCGAGGTCAGGTAGTATTGTTACTTGGGTAGGAATCGTGTGCTTACTTATCATGAGCCAAAGCAGCATACTGGGCCGTAGCCTTCGTAGCACTGTATAAGCCGAGCTGGGGTACCTCTGTTGGGTCGAAACCAGGTAGTACAGGAACCTACTTTAAATTGGTCGTGTGCTTACCTATCATGGGCCAAAGCGGCATATTGTGCCGCAGCCTTTGTAGCACTGTAGGCCAGGCTGGGGTGCCTCTGTAGTGTGGAAGCCCGATAGTAAAGGAATCTCGCCGCAGCTTCTCCTTCGGCTAGAGCGGTAGTATAGGAAGATAGGAACCGTGTGCTTACCTGTCATGAGCCAAAGCAGCATACTGGGCTTCGTAGCACTGTATAAGCCGAGCTGGGGTGCCTCTGTTGGGTCGAAGCCTGGTAGGACAGGAACCTACTTTAAATTGGTCGTGTATATCATGGGCCAGAGCAGCATACTGAGCCGCAGCCTTCGTAGCACTATAGGCCAGACTCGGGTGCCTCTGTAGCGTCGAGACTCGATAGTATAGCAACCGTGTGGTTACCGCTCATGAGTTAATGCGCGGTTCAGTATGCTACTGAGCCGCAGCCTTTGTAGCAGTTTGGCCTACAGTGCTACGAAGGCTGCGCTACGAAGGACGCTACAGAGTCATACTTACCTCTGTAGCATCGAGACTCGGTAGTATAGGAACCGTGTGCTTACCTATCATGAGCCAAAGCGGCATACTGTGCTGCAGCCTTCGTGGCACTATAGGCCAGACTTGGGTGCCTCTGTAGCGTGGAATCCCGGTAGTAAAGGAAACTCGTCGCGGCTTCTCCTTCAACTAGAGCGCCGCGGTCGCACGGTGCTAGAAGAACTTGACTCCGGCTATGTACTGTTCCATCGTTACTGCTTCTTGATACTTGAAGTTGACTTACCTATCATGAGCCAAAGCGGCATACTGTGCTGCAGCCTTCGTAGCACTGTAGGCCAGGCTGGGGTGCCTCTGTAGCGTGGAAGCCCGGTAGTAAAGGAACCTCGCCGCGGCTTCTCCTTCGGCTAGTGCGCCGCGGGCGCAAGCTGCAAGAAGCACTCGGACTCCGGCCACGTACTGTTCCATTGTTACAGCTTCTGTTGGTGGATAAAGGGGGATTTTAACACGAAGTTAGTACAAGCTGGAAATATAGCGTATATATAGCGTTTGTTTTTATTTGTATAGAGAACAATAGTGTCTAGACAACCCTAAAAAGGATTTAGGACGCTATTTGGATCAAATATGTAATTGCTCAATAATGAATAATAAATAAATAAATAAATAAATAAATAAATAAAACCTTTTCATAAAAGATTATTTTCACAAAAGTACACAGAGTAACTAGTCAGTAACGATTGTCAATCGGAATTGTTAGTTGGTCGATTACTTTTTGTTGGCTGGCTTTTATTTTGTATAACCGGTAAGTACGTAGTAATATCTTTGCAGAGATGAGGACGGGAAGGTTCAGAAAGGAGTCTAATATATTAGGTAAGTAGGTACTAACAAATGACGATTCCTTCAGAGAATTTCAGAGGTTATCAACAATTTGAATAGCGAGTAAAACCATATCCTTTAAGGTGATAACTTGTGGATTTTTTCTTAGAAAATGTATCTTATACATTGATTTGAGTTCACTTATAAAGATTTGACCATTTATCCCATATCTACACTACTTCACGAAAGAACAGGATGATGGAAAGTTTTCTACTTTCAATGCTTGTTACGTACCATAGGAAGTGGTTTTGATGTTCCTAGACGTCTCTTCTAGAAGCCAGTCCGCAGCGTCCTTCCTAGGCGCGGGCCATCCGAACTCGCCTTCCTCAGTCGTCGACGCATTCCTCAGTATCACCAATGCCTCAGGAACTATGGGACTTCTGTAAAATATTGATGATGGTTAGATTATTTGCCCGGTTGGTAGGTAACGCAGGCCGCTACCAACCGGGCAACATGGAAAGCATTGGGGGAGGCCTATGTTCAACAGGGGATGTCGGCTGTATGATGATGATGATGATGAGATTATTACCACAGCCTTTTCAAAAATCCAATTATCACACTTACAATGAAATGTTCTAGTGACTTTTTTTACCCATATTTATTTTGCTGCCCACTATAAAACATGGTACACTCAAAAATCACGACTCTCATTCGGTATTTTACGAAGCTTTTATACCTATGATTTTATAACAGATCCAAAATCATATGATTCCACGCGTGTAACCAATTAAGTTTTCATTGACATTTTTTATTTACCTGGCCAGAACTAGAGCCAACACAGTGGCAGCAAGGGCTGCAGGCGAGGTTAGGTTGTAAAGATTCTTCTCCAAATAGCTTTGGGACTTCTTCGCTGTGTCTGCGTCCAACTGTAACAAAAATTAGAATAAGTCACACTAAGAGAAATACATTAAGGAACTAATTCGTATTTTTAAAGGTCAAAACTATACTCTCAGTTAGTCGGCATTATGTTCATAAATATAACAATCACACAAAGCCAAACTCTGCGGCATATTAAGTAACTAATTCGTATTTTTAAAGGTCAAAACTCTACTCATTTAGTCGGTTATGTTCACACTTGCCTGGTTCTCAATCCCTACTTCAAGCAATGCCACCAACGTTTCTGCCGTCACTTCGACCTTCCTCTCCCAATCGATTTCCTCCTGAGTCATATTCCCATCTTTATCATAATAGTAATACTCGTTCACATTGACTTCCTTATCTGAAGAGTTAGTTTTCTTCATTTCCACAGGATAATAGTCTACTTCTTTATCAGCCGGTAGTGGGGTGAAGGAACCATCATGGTTCTGTCTGGTTTGTATCCACTTTTTGATGTTCTGCAACAGTTCTGGGTCCACTGGGTAGTAGGATTGGATTTTGGTGAGAATTTCTAAGATCTTGATTGTGGACAAGTGACTGCTCATGGCTGGATGGTCGCTGAAGGAGTTGTCGCTTTTGCGGAAAGATAGAAGGACTTGCACCTGGAAATAAGCGATCAGATCAGATCTTCTTTACTTTAATTTGAAACTGAATTCTTAATTAATGAAAGTAAGCAGACCATATTCTCATATAGATTCGACAGTCAAAATGAAATCTTTTCAAAAAGTTTACGATACTGAATTATTTTTTTATAATTTTATTGTTTCTTCAACATCGGTGCAATGAAATGAAATCACATGAGTAAAGTTTACTTATGTGATCAACTGTACCAGTCTTCGTTCGTTTCAGCCGAAAGACGTCTACTGCTGGACATTACTGGACAAAGGCCTCCCTTAAGGATTTCCACAAAGACCGGTCCTGCGCCGCTCGCATCCAGGCACCTCCCGCGACCTTCACCAGATCGTCGGTCCACCTAGTGGGAGGCCTGCCCACGCTACGTCTTCCGGCTCGTGGTCGCCACTCAAGAACTTTAATGTTAGCTGTACAATTTATTTCATGACCTAACCTGTTCAGGCAACTTCTTCAAAATCCTCTCCCTTTCCGCATCTTCAACCAAATGCGGTATATGCTCCAACGCCAGCAGCGGAGCTAAACTAGCCGAAGCCGCCGACAGCTGCGAGTCTCTCCACACCTCAGCCCACTGGTCGGTCGAGTCCATCTGGAGACTATAGAGCGGGAGATGGAGACCCCCAGAGACTAGCAGAGTCCCGCTTGCGGACCCGGGGACCACGCCTCGGGGAAGACCGAGTTCCAGGACTTGGGAGAAGCCTGCCTCTTCGTTGAAGTTCCAGATTCTGGAAATGTAATTATTGTTGGCATAAGTAGGTTATTACATGTTATGCAACATTAGTTATCTATGGTCTATGCATGAGTGAAGTACCACCACGGTAAGGATTAAATAAATCTACTTGACCTGGTTGTAACGGTCGTGAACTAATGATAGTTGAGTACTAAATCATCAAACATCAGCATTTTTTCTCAAGAATCACTTCATCACTGGTGGTGAACTGCTCTTTAACCTTAGGATCAAAAGCTAGTTAAGTAGTTTCTCACCTGAAATCCGCTTTATCTCCCCACAGCGCGCTAAAGCCCACGAATTTGATCCTCATGTCAGGAGCGAGCGGCCAGACTAGGAGTCTTCTCTCGGAAGGTGCTGCCCCCCTCCCCACAGAGAGTCTACCACCCTCCCACTACGACCCGGCTCTCGAACACACCTCTTCCATTCTAATAACGACAAAAATCTACCATTTTTCTCACCTGAAATCCGCTTTATCTCCCCACAGCGCGCTAAAGCCCACATATTTGATCCTCATATCAGGAGCGAGTGGCCAGACCAGGAGTCTTCTCTCAGAAGGTGCTGCACCTCTTCCTACGGAGAGTCGGCCACCCTCCCACCACACCCACCAGGCACACCAGGAACCAGCATTGGAACATTCTTCGTCACTTTCTGTCTGTTCTGCACTTGCTAAGTGGACGTCGTAACCTGGAAGTTAGAGATTGTATCATGAGCAAATGCTCTGTGAAATCAAAAGAGGCAAAAAAAACAAGAAGCCAGTGAAGTTGTTGATAATATTTTGCAAGCATTAGGAATGTGTAATTACACGTTTTGGTTCGGCCATCCTAGAGTCTGTGAGTGTAGCCATTTTCATAATGTTTATCATAAGTGAGATTTTTCCATTAGACAACCATGCGTTAGTGTTAATTTCTATTGAGTGTTTTTTACGAAACTTTACTTCAGTTGGGTTAATTTATTAAACCTTTTTTATTTTTGTAATTTGAATTAGATTCAAAATACACTCACCATGTTTCCCTTTAGCGATCCACACCCTGGTCTTCTCGAAGACGACTCTGTACATATCATCGGATGGCTCCCGTATGGCCGACAGCGCGACATGGGCGGCGCCTTGCGAACGGAGTTCCAACACTAGACCAGCTCGGTTCCTTGGCGCTGCCACCCACTGCCACTCCCAGGATCCTCGGGACGAGACAGCTAAGTGCTCTGAAGAAATAGGCGATGTAAGTTAATAATAGTACTTTAAGAACGAATAAATAATCCACAGAATAATAATAACTACTAGAACTGGGCACGTTTAAGTGCTAACGCTACACGCTATCTGCACCACGAAACCATGCGAGCAGAAACTTTTCAAAACAACTAACACAAACTAGGTAGTGTTGGACCATCAAAATTCTGATTCACACAAATCGTATTACGAATACGTTGAACAATTTGTGTAATGAACTAATATTTCATTTGAATGCTTAAAAAAATCGGTCTGCTATGTTATAAGTGGTAGAAAATTGACTGACGGAATATAATTTAGGGATAGTAATATAGTCTCACCATTGGCACAGAAGTAGGCACTCTGTGTGTCGCTCCTGTGCAATCCTTCGGGAAGCACTAAGACACTGGCTGACCGGATCACTGAACCCACGAGCGTCTCGTTGTTGAACGAAGTGTACGACACTGAGCAGTTGTCAGCGCTGTACCCGGTTATTTCCACTGAAAAGAGAAATAAAATAACTTAATAATACAATCTACTTAGTGAGGAAAGAATTCATGGTCAATAAAATAAATATCGTCCTATTTTAAATCCAGTATTTGCTATTCAATCAAGCTATTGTACCTAAGTACCGTACCTCTAACCATTTAGGTCATCCCTACAGTTTTCAAGTTTCAAACACACACATAAAGCTATTAAATCTACCATTGTCTTTCCCATAACGGATAAATTAAAAGTCCCAATGTATCGGCTTCAACCATAAAAGTATGCTTTTACGAGGTAACTCCATTATCGAATTCAATCATTCAGCATACGATGACTGCTCTTAATACGGTTCCAATATGCCATAAAGCAAAAGGGTACAGAAAGTCTATGACTCGTCTCGACTATGGTTTAAATCTCGCAGCTGCAAGTAAGGTTTGACAAATGCTATTTGCAGCAGCATCTGTCGCAAGCACATTCTCACCACGTTATACTAGACAGCATTTCCCGCTTGGACTGAATATGTCGCGTTTGCGACTAGTGTCAAGTCCCATCGTAGACTGTGATGGCATTTAGCAGGGAATGTTGTTGGATTGGTTGCGCTCGTCACTTTGTCCGCATCGCATCGTAGGTGTAAAATTTTGTTCCTAATGTAGGTAAGAGCACCCGTGGCGTCAAAAAGTTGTTATTACGGTCATAAATAAACTCCTCCTAAATTCTTTTCTATGCGGCATAAAATGGATGTAGGTATTTTTGGGTAGCGGTAACTTCGAAGCTTGAAATTTTCACAGGTTCGCGCAGCATTTTTTTACGGGATCCTAAAAACGAACTAAAAAATTAAGAAAGCTGCAATTTTTTCGGCTTTCTCCAAGTGGGTTATCAAAAAATCAGCTGACACGGCATATTCAGCCGAAACCTACTGTTTTGCTGCGTATTGATCTCCACTGTGATACCGCCCTCAAACGTATATTGTCTCGTAATCCAGGGCAACATAAAATTACTTTATTCTCCCTGTGTTCAACTCATTCCTGACGCAGCATTTTTATCTCTATTCTTTATGATTATGACAGTACGAGTGGCGTCGCGCCCCAGTTCATAAGCGGTAACGGTCGTAATGATGATAAAATGCCGATTTGCATTTTTGTTTGCTTCTTTGCATCAAAATGAACGATGCCACTTGGATATTTTTTCCGGGAATACACGTTTTAATATATTTTTATGGATGCACGTTTATTTTTGGTGTCTATGTAAAAATTACCCTTTTTTTGGGTGGAATTAAAAAGTTTAATTAAGTTCGTTATAGATAAACGCATATATGCTTAAACAATATTGCCAAATGCCTTAAATTATGACTTTTACCTAAAATACCAACTTCTTCTTTATTACTCCAGAAGTAGAGCATGTCTTTCAATTAAAAACTGTTATCTTTAAAGTAGTTTAGGTAGATCAAATGGAGGGGAGACTGGAGAAACAGACCTAACAGCTTTAAGCCGAAGCGGTGGCGGCATAATCTGGGGGCACGGCAGTGCCCCCACCAAGTTGAGCAAAAAAGCGGCACGGCCATACCATCCTTTTCTCGAAGCAATTCAGGCCATTTTCGACCCCCTGTATCATCGTTGTGGATTAGTAAATTACTTGGACCAAATCGCTGCATTCTCGTCACTTGCACAAATGCGTAGGTATCACAAATGCCATGCGAAGAATCTACCGCTACAGCCCCGATGCGGGGAACACTCAGGAAGCAATGGGAATGTAATATTTTTACTGTAAGTGTGAAACGGGGAATGGGGATAATGAATCTTGTTGATTTTAGTCACTGAATTTTCCTTATGAATAACATGCTATGAAAGTTTTTAGGAAATGCAGTTATTTTTTATATTCTCGACTCTCTATACTTCGGTTGAGTTGCACTACCTTATTTAACCGTAGCATTAACATTAACCGATGCTTTTTGTATGGAGTTTGACAGATTTTTGACGTTTGTCAAAGTTAAAGTAAAATAGTGCAACTCCGCCTTAGAAACGATGTAAACCTATATAAAGGTATAAAACCTGTGTACATAATTTAAAAAAAAAACTTTAAGAAAGAAACAAGTTTCAACACTTTCTTAACTTGCAAGCCCTTTGCTAACTTATTATTTTGTCTCCGAAGTGAATCATTCAACAAAATCATGAGTAGGTGTCGTGGCCGCGAAGCTCAGCATACTTGCCAATTAAATTTTGATTGGAAACGGCCTTTTCTTAATTGGCTACCAACAAGGAAAACCGTTAATTGGTTTGATTGGCTTAATGATTGTAAGAGTATTATTTCGACTTCGAAGTTTCATTAGTAAACTAATCACGTTGACAGTATTTTCCTGAAATGGAACTATTGCCATGATTTAAACCACTTTCTTGGTTACCATGTTAATAGAATTCCCTATTAATGGAATTCCCAGAATTTGTATCCCAAACGGGGCATGCTTCGTGGCTAGGTGGTTAGAGTTCTGAACTTCAATGGCCAATGCAGGTTTGAATCTCGCTGAGGGTAAATGTTAGAGTGATGAGTACGTGAACATTAGTATTCATGAACCTACTTCTCTATATTTACAGTAGAACAAAAATACTTATACTAAAGTTCGTAGTTTCCTTATATTGGGTCTAAAAGTAAATAACTAGGTATACACATCACTTAAAACTAAGAACTTTTATTAAATTAATATCAATTATTGTAATAAAAATAATTCAAATGGTAATTAACGATTCAATTAACAAACAAATGATTGTCAGTCCCCAGCGTTATCGCCAGCAATCACGAGCCGCAAACTCAGACGTCACCCCATCAGTTCCCCAGGCGATATGGAAACTAAACTACCTTGGAACCCGCAACGAATTTAATCAAAGGCAAAATGAACCGCACATTTACAGGTCGGGATAATAACCCTCCACGAGATAACGACACAATCACAATGCTGTACAACAGTGCAGCCAAACAAGACCCTAGTTCCACGTCAATTTTAGTTTAATCTAAATGGTAATAGAAACCAGCGAGAATGACGAACTAATAATATTTGAGTATCAACACCGAAAGGGCTCAGAGATTGGAAATTTAAATTTGCAACGCTCATCAGGTTTACATGAATTTTTGAAGCTGAATTTCAATTCAGGTCATCGTTTCATTTTTAATAGTTTCGCAGCTCAAAGTTTGCAAGTGCTAAGTTTCGTTCGCTAAATATTTTGCGTGGGAATTGTGGCATTGAGTGAAATACAATTAGGATCAATTTAGTATCAAGTTGAAACTCGTGTACTCGCTTAGGATTTTTGAAATTAATCATGAACAATTAATTATAGCTGATTGATAATGAAGCCTCATCGATACAAAATTGGTCTAATATTAACATTATCTTGGTTTCAGGAATAATCTTTGTCATAATATGTTGCCTTTATATTTCAATATTATCTGTAGCTTTTTGCAAATCTTAATTTCATTTCAATATTCGTGGAGGAAGTCGCAGGTATAAATCTAGCAATTAGTTTTCTCTTGGGTAAAGACAAAAACGTTATTTCTGAATTAAAACCAACAAAAATACTACAAGCTAAATTAGTCCGCAACTTTATTTCATGAGCCGATATTACGGTGGAAAGTTGCATGTACGTAATATTGATATCCAGAAGCACAGTACACCACTAGCCAAGTTTTCCAATAAATATAGGTATTGCTCTACGAATCTATGATTCTTTGTAATTTAATAAAGAGTCAGATATGTGTTGTATAGTTGGGTTGTGTAATAGAAAATATGCGTGGAACACTCTACATTATTAATTTTCAGGAATGTAAATAATTTTTCGTATATCGCATTGCGTTTGCAATCCTTTCAAACATTGTATGGTTTCACTGATATAAAATACGGGTATGTAACATGTCGGTTTTTCCTTTATTCGTTTGGCATTTTTCAAATTACAGCTCAGAGATCGTTTACTTTTAATGATGCGAGGATTTTAGGCAACGCATGAAGATTGCTTAAAGATGACAAAATATAAATTGCATCGATATGGTAGCATATAATTTAATCGTTATTTTGAGAATTTGATAATGAGATTATTTTGTGACGACATTTCACTTTTAATTTTAGAGTTAAAACTCGTAAATAGATCTTAATCTAAGTATTTACACGATCTACAATGGAGTTTGTATCAAGTTTTAAGCTTTCTTTTATTAAAAGGGGCATATTAATGGTGTGTGTGTATGTATAACAAACTTGTTTGTAAAATTGGTTTATTACAGTTCTCTGATAGATGAAGACAATGTATTTGGCAAATTCTAGTGAAGTCAAACAAGAAGTGTTTACCTAGTTCGATTCTGGGAACTCAATATTTGCAATCGATACCAGTATTGCAGAGGTTTCAGCAGACGGCCATAGTTTCTGAGAAATTGTAGCGATTGGATTCCTTGTTTTTCTCTTTTTGTTATTCTTTACACCCGTATTGTGGCTATGGCTTCTATTGTCATATTGTCATGGCTGAAGGGTATTGAAGAAATAGGCAAATTAATTTTATTATTATGTTGGTATCGTATTAATATAATACAGTGTTTAGTTAGTCGTCTAATACGTCTGCGACACCTATTTTAGGACTTCAAAATAAATGCCTACCACGGCATGTATATACAATATTTTAATAGCCATCTACCAGGTACATATTCTCGATAATTTTACTCGAATGAAATAGGTCGAATGAAAAGATATCAGCTCATTAAAAGTTTGGGAAGTGGGTCAAATTGGTCAATAAGTGGAGCTAATAATTATAAGGAAAGATGAAAAATATTTTTACGTTATTAAATTGAACTAATTAGTAAACAGTTGAAGTCAGCATGCCTCAACTTCACAATCATCTCGGGACGAATCTGCTGAACCAGTTTCGAGAATTTAGCTGAAAAGTTCATTAAAATATTTTGCTCGACAGACTTTCCACAATAAAGGTAGAATAAGTAAGCTCTCTTTGTTTATCAAAAGATTCATCTACCTATCGAGGTACAAAGCACAACAGAGCTAAATACAGGCATCTACCTATTTAATTGTGATATGTGCAAGATTGTCTGGTTTTGGTTTGTGTTAAATTCCCGCAACAATTATTACTAACTACACAGCGTGAACCCATACACATGCAAATTCACGTTGCACCGCCCACACTCCAACAGATGGTGTGTGAAACTCCAGGTAATGTAATTGTTTAAACCCACTAACAAGGAAATGCATTAGATATGTTTAACAGCACGAAGTATCTACAAGAGTAGTTGCGGGAATTTGGTAATTGTCACCGCTAATTCTAAAATACTCATTGAGAGTTAATATGCCACCAATATTTTCTCTTAGATTTTGAATGGCAATAGGACCTAACTTTTGAATGAAGCCATATTGTTTTAATTTTGTCATAATCCTTAATCGTGTAAGTAGGTATATTCCGAAGACTATTGTGATTATGAATCGAAACTAGGAATACTTTGTTACGGGTTTTACTGTTCCTTTTTCTACTGTCGGGAGCTTCGAGAACACTTGGAACATTTTTCGCATTCTTTTGTCTCTTGTGGCTAATTAATAGCGGTGATAACGCGAGTTTAGAATTCTGCTGTTTTATTTAACTTCTCAATCATACTTAAGATTCTTTTGGAGAGCTGGTAAGAGCATACAGATTTTAAGGACTTCAAATCAATGTATATGTAGGAATCAGGCTGTAATCTTATACCCCTCTAAGTGTATCTGGAAAATCTGGAAAACGTGTCGTGTTTCAGGGGCGTGAAATTTGTCTTCAGGTAAAAAGGCAAGTACGATACCTATAGCGATAAATATGAAGAACACTGCACAGTTGAAAAAAGTCTGACAAAAGTGACTTTGACTTCTCAATCTTGCATTGCTCCTTCTTATCACTGCCCCACTTATTGTCCCAAATATTGGTAGGGGTAAAGTTATACTGGGACGTGTAAAAGCGCTTAGTAAAAGCCTATTTGCATAAAATGCTTTTGTATTTTTACTAATCAGATAATCTTACCTGTAATATTCTTCCTGCCAGGCGTGTTGACTGCCACTCGCACCACTAACTGCGTGCCTCCCCGAGGACCGAGTCTGAGTCTCTCCGTCACGTAGAGGGCGCCAGTGCTCGCGAAAGCTGCGCCCGCGCTTAGCGCTAGCAGTGCTGTCACCTGAAAACGTAATACGATTAAGAATAGGCTAGTAGACTGTTGGTTGTTGCTGTAATGCCATCATCAGGTAGGCAGTCAGGTAGGTACACGACCCTCTCCAATTTCATTATCATCATCATCATTTCAGCCATAGGACGTCCACTGCTGAACATAGGCCTCCCCTAATGCTTTCCACGTTGATCGATTGGTAGCAGCCTGCATCCAGCGCTTCCGTGCTACCTTTACGATGTCGTCAGTCCACCTTGTAGGTGGACGTCCCACGCTGCGTTTTCCGGTACGCGGCCTCTCCATTTTACCAGAAGCAAATGGATGATTTAGCCTACACTCCCCAGACACTAACTATGGTGGTACTTATTCTGTGCTATGGTCCAGTAATGAAACTTATCAACGCGAAGCAGTGGCAGGCTTATGTTGGAGCATGAAAGAGTGTTATGTCAAATCCTTTTTGCATAAAAATACAACTTTGAACAGATTGTGTAAGGCCATTTGATGTGTGTGATTGTCTAATCGTAAAAAACCTTTTTTGGGTAACCTGAAACGTTTGCATGGAAAATCCGAATGAAAAAAGGTTCAACGTAACAAGGGGTTTTGTTTTAATTTCCTGTTGTGTTATATTTCTGATTTTGTTGGCAATGCATAATTTGTGGGACCTAATGTATTCCTTGTTTAAATTAAAATATTTTGTTGCTAGGTAAATGCGTACAAGAATTTAGAAACCGTGAACTATCCAATGTAAATTATATGAAAAATAACGATTGTTATCGTACATTCTCATCTTTCCTAACAAATCAATGTAATTTAGCACCATTCAGAGGGAGGTAAAAAAGACCTAATACCTTTTTTATCTAGATAGAATGGTCCTTCTTCTAGTCTAGTACACATGGATCGTAAAGTAAAAATGGCGCGGGGTTAGTAAAATCCCAGTCAATCCGGAGTTCTAGAGCCGAGTGACACGTGTGATATCGATGTGTTCGTGATCGGCACTCATCGAATCCCGATTAGGGATCCTGGGGTGATTCCGGCGCGAATCCCGGGAAATGGGGCGATTACGCCATACATCCCGGCTTAAACGGTTCAAACTCGCATCAACCGATGCACGTTCTCCACACATTGCGGTGTTGGTACAGCCGATAACATATAATATCGACCCTATTACAACAATATGTAAGATGCTGCTAAAGTGTACGCTTAATATTCCATTGTTTGTACATCAACTCCGCAGAAGATATGGCTGAATTGGTTGTAGATTGGAAACCAATTTGTGACTATAGATCGTTTCATCTATGGAAACGAGCCCCGCCATTCTTCCGCTAATGTTTAAGTGTTTTCTGTAAACGCTAAATTATCCATTAGTTCGCACGAACACTACAATAATGACGCTCGGATTGCTCGGATCAAGTTTCTCGACCAAACATTGGTAGGGCGCGTCTTCGTGGATGAAACGATCTAAATCAGAGTTTAATTTGAACCTGCTACAAGGACATTATCTTTATCTATTGAATCTACATTTTTATTTAAAAGGACGTAAAGTTAAACATTATGGCGTCTTAAGCAGTTGTAAAATGTCTGACTTTTAGTGTAGGTAAGTAGTCCACGTCATCATAAAACAANAAACAACCCCCAAGGGTGGAAAATTGGGGATGAACTTTTTTATACGCAATATCTCCGCCGATTATAAATCAATTTGAACGATTATTTTTTTGTTGAATAGGTATTATCAAAAGGGTGGTTTCATGCGAATTTGAAGAAAATATTTCACCCCCAAGGGTGGAAAATTGGGGATGAACTTTTTTATACGCAATATTTTTAATTTTTAATTTTTTTTTGTGTTCACGCATTTGAAGTCGGTTTTATTTTTTTAAAAAGTTAATTATATAACTTACAATAACGTTCTTCTAATGTGAACTAAAGAATTAATGTTTGTTCACTGCTTAATTTTTAATCATCCCTTCCCGTACATTAACTAAATAAAGTTGTGGGAGGATTTTTTATGAACATCTTGAATAAAAGTCAGTTTACATGCTACATACCATAGGAAGTGGTTTTGATGTTCCTAGACGTCTCTTCTAAGAGCCAGTCAGCTGCGTCCTTCCTAGGCGCGGGCCATCCGAACTCGCCTTCCTCAGTCGTCGACGCATTCCTCAGTATCACCAATGCCTCAGGAACTATGGGACTTCTGTAAAATAAGAATTGATTGCGCTAATTATCCCAGTTTCTACCTGACCTCAATCTTATCACACTCACACTGGAATATTTTCTATTGATTAAGCAGTTCAATTTTTTAATGCAGAACAAGGCACGTTTAAGACTGCAATCGCACTTGATGTTAGTTTATTTATTTTTTTGTTCTCCGCTATAGAAAGTATCTAATATAAACTGATACAAGTATTATATGTGAAAGTAACTCTGTGTCTGTCTGTCTGTCTTGCTTTCGCGCCTAAACCACTGAACCGCTTTTTATGAAATTTGGCATAGAGATAGTTTGAGTCCCGGAAAAGGACACAGGATAGTTTTTATACCGGTTTTTGAAACAGGGACGCGCGCGATAATGTTTTTCTGTGACAGACAAAATTCCACGCCGGCGAAGCCGCGGGCGGAAAGCTAGTGTAAACATAAAATTCCTTTTTCGGCTTCTGATTACCTGGCTAGAACTAGAGCTAACACAGTGGCAGCAAGGGCTGCAGGCGAGGTTAGGTTATAAAGATTCTTCTCCAAATAACTCTGGGACTTCTTTGCTGTGTCTGCGTCCAACTGTAACAAAAAATATAACAATCACACTAAGCCAAACTCTGCGGCATATTAAGTAACTAGTTCGTATTTTTAAAGGTCAAAACTCTACTCTTTTGGTCTGTATTATGTTCACACTTGCCTGGTTCTCAATTCCAACTTCAAGCAACGCCACCAAAGTTTCTGCTGTGACTTCGACCTTCCTCTCCCAATCGATTTCTTCCTGAGTCATATTTCCATCTTTATCATAATAATAATACTCGTTCACATTGACATCCTTATCTGAGGAGTTAGTTTTCTTCATTTCCACAGGATAGTAGTCTACTTCTTTATCAGCTGGTAATGGGGTGAAGGAACCATCATGGTTCTGTCTAGTTTGTATCCACTTTTTGATGTTCTGCAACAGTTCTGGGTCCACTGGGTAGTAGGATTGGATTTTGGTGAGGATCTCCAAGATCTTGATCGTGGACAAGTGACTGCTCATGGCTGGATGGTCGCTGAAGGAGTTGTCGCTTTTGCGGAAAGATAGAAGGACTTGCACCTGGAAATAAGCGATCAGATCAGCTCTTCCTTACTTTGATTTGAAATTGAATTCTTGATGAATGATACTAAGTAAAACATTCTTGTGTAGATTCGGCAGTCAAGATGTAGTCTTTACAAAAAGTTAAGAATACTAAATTAATTTCTTATAATTTTATTGTTTCTTCAACATCGGTGCAATGAAATGAAAACACATGAGTAAAGTTTACTTATGTGATCAACAGTACCAGTCTTCGTTCGTTTCAGCCGAAAGACGTCTACTGGTGGACAAAGGCCTCCCTTAAGGATTTCCACAAAGACCGGTCCTGCGCCGCTCGCATTCAGGCACCTCCCGCGACCTTCACCAGATCGTCGGTCCACCTAGTGGGAGGCCTGCCCACGCTACGTCTTCCGGCTCGTGGTTGCCACTCAAGAACTTTAATGTTAGCTGTACAATTTATTTCATGACCTAACCTGCTCAGGCAACTTCTTCAAAATCCTCTCCCTTTCGGCGTCCTCGACCAAATGCGGTATATGTTCCAACGCCAGCAGCGGAGCTAAACTAGCCGAAGCCGCCGACAGCTGCGAGTCTCTCCACACCTCAGCCCACTGGTCGGTCGAGTCCATCTGAAGACTATAGAGCGGGAGATGGAGACCCCCAGAGACTAGTAAGGTTCCGCTTGCAGACCCGGGGACCACGCCTCGGGGAAGACCGAGTTCCAGGACTTGGGAGAAGCCTGCCTCTTCGTTGAAGTTCCAGATTCTGAAATTGCAAAATTTTATTGTCAAGATATTAAACATTTTAGTTACTTGCTATGCTCAATGTATGAGTCAAGTGTTAGTTGGTTACAAGGTTTGTGAGTTGATGATAGTTTGGCACTAAATCATCAAACATCAGCCTTTTTTTCTCAATCATCGCTTTCTGAAGGGTGAAGAACTGTCCTTCCATATCAAGACCAATTTAAAGCTAGATATGTGATAATATTATTATTTATACATTCTAGTACCGATCAAAATCTACCATTTTTTCACCTGAAATCCACTTTATCTCCCCACAGCGCACTAAAGCCCACGAATTTAATCCTCATGTCAGGAGCAAGTGGCCAGACCAGGAGTCTTCTCTCGGAAGGCGCCGCCTCCCTCCCCAGGGAAAGTCTACCACCCTCCCACCACGACCCTGTTCCAGAGCATTCATCGTCCAATCTAGTAACAACTAAAATCTACCGTGTTCTTCACCTGAAATCCGCTTTATCTCGCCACAGCGCGCTAAAACTCACGAATTTGATCCTCATGTCAGGAGCAAGTGGCCAGACCAGGAGTCTTCTCTCAGAAGGCGCTGCACCCCTCCTCACTGAGAGGCTACCATGGCTCTCGAACATTCCTCGTCTACTTTAGTAACGACCACAATCTACCATTTTTCTCACCTGAAATCAGCTTTATCCCCCCACAGCGCGCTAAAGCCCACAAATTTGATCCTCATGTCAGGAGCCAGTGGCCAAACCAGGAGTATTCTCTCGGAAGGCGCTGCACCCCTCCTCACTGAGAGTCTACCATGGCTCTCGAACATTCCTCGTCTACTTTAGTAACGACTAAAATCTACCATGTTCCTCACCTGAAATCCGCTTTATCTCCCCACAGCGCGCTAAAGCCCACGTATTTGATCCTCATATCAGGAGCCAGTGGCCAAACCAGGAGTCTTCTCTCAGAAGGAGCTGCACCTCTTCCTACGGAGAGTCTACCAAAACCACGATTAGGCTCTCGAATATTACTCATCTACTTTAGTAACGACCACAATCTACCATTTTTCTCACCTGAAATCCGCTTTATCTCCCCATAGCGCGCTAAAGCCCACGTATTTGATCCTCATGTCTGGAGCGAGTGGCCAGACCAGGAGTCTTCTCTCGGAAGGCGCCGCCTCCCTCCCCAGGGAAAGTCTACCACCCTCCCACCACGACCCTGTTCCAGAGCATTCCTCGTCCAATCTAGTAACAACTAAAATCTACCGTGTTCTTCACCTGAAATCCGCTTTATCTCGCCACAGCGCGCTAAAACTCACGAATTTGATCCTCATGTCAGGAGCAAGTGGCCAGACCAGGAGTCTTCTCTCAGAAAGCGCTGCCCCCCTCCCTACCGAGAGTCGGCCGCCCTCCCACCACACCCACCAGGCGCACCAGGAAACAGCATTGACGCATTCTTTATCCACTCTAGTACCGACCACAATCTACCATTTTCCTCACCTGAAATCCGCTTTATCTCCCCACAGCGCGCTAAAGCCCACGTATTTGATCCTCATGTCAGGAGCAAGTGGCCAGACCAGGAGTCTTCTCTCGGAAGGTGCTGCACCCCTCCCCACGGAGAGTCGGCCGCCCTCCCACCACGATCCGGCTCTCGAATATTCCTCGTCTACACTTGGAACCAACAAAATCTACAATTTTTCTCACCTGAAATCCGCTTTATCTCCCCACAGCGCACTAAAGCCCACGAATTTAATCCTCATGTCAGGAGCGAGCGGCCAGACTAGGAGTCTTCTCTCGGAAGGTGCTGCCCCTCTTCCTACGGAGAGGCGGCTGCCCTCCCACCACACCCACCAGGCGCACCAGGAACCAGCATTCGAGCATTCTTTATCTACTCTAGTAACGACCACAATCTACCATTTTTCTCACCTGAAGTTCGCTTTATCTCCCCACAGCGCGCTAAAGCCCACGAATTTGATCCTCATGTCAGGAGCGAGCGGCCAGACTAGGAGTCTTCTCTCAGAAGGTGCTGCACCTCTCCCCACAGAGAGTCTACCACCCTCCCACCACACCCACCAAGCGCACCAGGAACCAGCATTGGAACATTCTTTATCCACTCTAGTACCGACCAAAATTTATCCTATTTTTCTCACCTGAAATCCGCTTTATCTCCCCACAGAGCGCTAAAGCCCACGTATTTGATCCTCATATCAGGAGCCAGTGGCCAGACTAGGAGTCTTCTCTCGGAAGGTGCTGCCCCTCTTCCTACGGAGAGCCGGCCACCCTCCCACCACACCCACCAGGCGCACCAGGAACCAGCATTGGAACATTCTTCGTCACTTTCTGTCTGTTCTGCGCTGGCTAAGTGGACGTCGTAGCCTGTAAGTTAAGGTATGGGTTCATGAGTAAGTAGAAGTTGTTGATATGTACATACATATTTTGCAAGCATTAGGAATGTGTAATTACACGTTTTGGTTCGGCCATCCTAGAGTCCGTGAGTGTAGCCATATTTAAAATTTTTATCATAAGTCGTCGCTTGCCTGACTGACGTATCTGTCATTTTTTTCGAAACTGTTATCTACACCATCTTAATCAATTTCGCAAGACGAATCGATCTGTCTAATCGCCTGAAAATTTTGCAAAATGTCAGTTACGTCAGTTAGAGAGGCAACCGACGAAGTGACATTATTTATCTTAAGACAACCATGCGTTAGTGTTAATTTCTCTTGAGTGATTTTATACGAAACTTAACTTTACTTGTATAATTGAACCTTTTGTCTTTTTGTAATTTGAATTAGATTCAAAATACACTCACCATGTTTCCCTTTAGCGATCCACACCCTGGTCTTCTCAAAGACGACTCTGTACATATCATCGGATGGCTCCCGTATGGCCGACAACGCGACATGGGCGGCGCCTTGCGAACGGAGTTCCAACACCAGACCAGCTCTGTTCCTTGGCGCTGCCACCCACTGCCACTCCCAGGAGCCTCGGGATGAGACAGCTAGGTGCTCTGAAGAAATAGGCGATGTAAGTTAATAATAGTACTTTAAGAACGAATAACTAATCCGAAGTAGAACCACAGAATAGTAATAAGTACTAGAACTGGGCACGTTTAAGTGCTAACGCTACACGCTATCTGCACCACGAAATCATGCGAGCAGAAACCTTTCCAAACAACTAACACAAACTAGGTAGTGTTGGACCATCAAAATTCTGATTCACACAAATCGTATTACGTTGAACAATTTGTGTAATTAACTAATATTTCATTTGAATGCTTAAAAATTTGGTCTGCCAGTGACTGGCAGCCAGTCTGCCAGTGACTCTCATAATAGATCGTTGGTAGAAAATTGACTGACGGAATATAATTTAGGGATAATAATATAGTCTCACCATTGGCACAGAAGTAGGCGCTCTGTGTGTCGCTCCTGTGCAATCCTTCGGGAAGCACTAAGACACTGGCTGACCGGATCACTGAACCCACGAGCGTCTCGTTGTTGAACGAAGTGTACGACACTGAGCAGTTGTCAGCGCTGTACCCGGTTATTTCCACTGAAAAGAGAAATAAAATAATCAATCTACCTACTTAGTGAAAAAATAATTCATGGTCAATACACAGTAAATAAAATAAATATCGTCCTATTTTAATTCCAGTATTTGCTATTCAATCAAGCTATAGTACCTATGTACCGTACCTCTAACCATTTAGGTCATCCCTACAGTTTTCAAGTTTCAAACACACACATAAAGCTATTAAAATTAAATCTACCATTGTCTTTCCCATAACGGATAAATTAAAAGTCCCAATGAATCGGCTTCAACCATAAAAATATGCTTTTACGAGGTAACTCCATTATCGAATTCAATCATTCAGCATACGATGACTGCTCTTAATACGGTTCCAATATGCCATAAAGCAAAAGGGTACAGAAAGTCTATGACTCGTATCGACTATGGTTTAAATCTCGCAGCTGCAAGTAAGGTTTGACAAATGCTATTTGCAGCAGCATCTGTCGCAAGCACATTCTCACCACGTTATACTAGACAGCATTTCCCGCTTGGACTGAATATGTCGCGTTTGCGACTAGTGTCAAGTCCATCGTAGACTGTGATGGCATTTAGCAGGGAATGTTGTTGGATTGGTTGCGCTCGTCACTTTGTCCGCATCGCATCGTAGGTGTCACGTAAAATTTTGTTCCTAATGTAGGTAAGAGCACCCGTGGCGTCAAAAAAGGTGCTATTACGGTCATAAATAAACTCCTCCTAAATTCTTTTCTATGCGGCATAAAATGGATGTAGGTATTTTTGGGTAGCGTTAACTTCGAAGCTTGAATTTTTTACAGCTTCGCGCAGCTCTTTTTTACGGGACCCTAAAAACGAACTACAAAATTCGGAAAGCCGCAATTTTTTCGTCTTCCTCCAAGTGGGTTTCCAAAAAATCAGCTGACACGGCATATTCAGCCGAAACCTACTGTTTTGCTGCGTATTGATCTCCACTGTGATACCGCCCTCAAACGTATATTGTCTCGTAATCCAGGGCAACATAAAATTACTTTATTCTCCCTGTGTTCCTTTCAACTCATTCCTGACGCAGCATTTTTATCTCTATTCTTTATGATTATGACAGTACGAGTGGCGTCGCGCCCCAGTTCATAAGCGGTAACGGTCGTAATGATGATAAAATGCCGATTTGCATTTTTGTTTGCTTCTTTGCATCAAAATGAACGATGCCACTTGGATATTTTTTCCGGGAATACACGTTTTAATATATTTTTATGGATATACGTTTATTTTTGGTGACTACGTCAAAATTGCCCTATTTTATGGGTGGAATTAAAAAGTTTAATTAAGCTCGTGTAGATAAACGCATATAATATGCATACCTATGTAACAAAAACAATATTGCAAGATCCATTTGACAAAATTAAATGCCTTAAATTATGACTTATCTAAAAGACCAACTTCTTCTACATTACTCCAGAAGTAGAGCATGTTTATCAATTAAAAACTGTTATCTTTAAAGTAGTTTAGGTAGACAAAATGGAGGGGAGACTGGAGAAACAGACCTAACAGCTTTTAGCCGAAGCGGTGGCGGCATAATTAGTAAATTACTTGGACCAAATCGCTGCATTCTCGTCACTTGCACAAATGCGTGGGTATCACAAATGCCATGCGAAGAATCTACCGCTACAGCCCCGATGCGGGGAACACTCAGGAAGCAATGGGAATGTAATATTTTTACTGTAAGTGTGAAGCGGGGAATGGGGATAATGAATCTTTTTGTTTTTAGTCATTGAATTTCCTATGAAAGTTTTTAGGAAATGCAGTTATTTTTTATATTCTCGACTCTCTATACTTCGGCTGAGTTGCACTACCTTATTTAACCGTAGCATTAACATTAACCGGTGCTTTTTGTATGGAGTTTAAAATAGTGCAACTCAGCCTCAGAAAATTTGATGAAACGGGATGTAAACCTATATAAAGGTATATAACCTGTGTACATAATTAAAAAAAAACTTTAAGAAAGAAACAAGTTTCAACACTTTCTTAACTTGCAAGCCCTTTTCTAACTAATTATTTTGTCTCCGAAGTGAATCATTCAACAAAATCATGAGTAGGTGTCGTGGACGCGAAGCTCAGCATACTTGCCAATTAAATTTTGATTGGAAACGGCCTTTTCTTAATTGGCTACCAACAAGGAAAACCGTTAATTGGTTTGATTGGCTTAATGATTGTAAGAGTATTATTTCGACTTCGAAGTTTCATTAATAAACTAATCACGTTGACAGTATTTTCCTGAAATGGAACTATTGCCATGATTTAAGCCACTTTCTTGGTACCGTGATAATAGAATTCCCTATTAATGGAATTCCCAGAATTTGTATCCCAAACGGGCTATGCTTCGTGGCTAGGTGGTTCGAGTTCTGAACTTCAATGGCCAATGCAGGTTTGAATCTCGCTGAGGGTAAATGTTAGTGATGAGTACGAGAGCATTAGTATTCATGAACCTACTTCTCTATATTTACAGTAGAACAAATACTTATACTTAAGTTCGTAGTTTCCTTAGATTGGGTCTAAAAGTAAATAACTAGGTACACTTACCTATCTTAAAACTAAGAACTTTTTTTAAAATTAATATCAATTTTGTAATGAAAATAATTCAAACGGTAATTAACAATTCCATTGACAAACAAATAATTGTTAGTCCCCAGCGTTATCGCCAGCAATCACGAGCCGCAAACTCAGACGTCACCCCATCAGTTCCCCAGGCGATATGGAAACTAAACTACCTTGGAACCCGCAACGAATTTAATCAAAGGCAAAATGGACCGCACATTTACAGGTCGGGATAATAACCCTCCACGAGATAACGACACAATCACAATGCTGTACAACAGTGCAGCCAAACAAGGCCCTAGTTCCACGTCAATTTTAGTTTAATCTAAATGGTAATAGAAACCAGCGAGAATGACGAACTAATAATATTTGAGTATCAACACCGAAAGGGCTCAGAGATTGGAAATTTAAATTTGCAACGCTCATCAGGTTTACATGAATTTTTGAAGCTGAATTTCAATTCAGTTCGTCGTTTCATTTTTAATAGTTTCGCAGCTCAAAGTTTGCAAGTGCTAAGTTTCGTTCGCTGAAGATTTTGCGTGGGAATTGTGGCATTGAGTGAAATACAATTAGGATCAATTTAGTATCAAGTTGAAACTCGTGTACTCGCTTAGGATTTTTGAAATTAATCATGATCAATTAATTATAGTAGATTGATAATGAAGCCTCATCGATACAAAATTGGATTATAGGTCTAATATTAACATTATCTTGGTTTCAGGAATAATCTTTGTCATAATATGTTTCCTTTATATTTCAATATTTTCTGCAGTTTTTTGCAAATCTTAATTTCATTTCAATATTCGTGGAGGAAGTCGCAGGTATAAATCTAGCAATTAGTTTTCTCTTGGGTAAAGACAAAAACGTTGTTTCTGAATTAAAAAGTTCCACGAATTTCTCCTAACGGCTTAATATGAAACTGTAACTTGAGAACAATAACTGAGCTTCAAATTGTCGGCTCAATATCTCTAAAGCTCTCAAGAGAGCGTCGAAAGCTAGCCAAGTTGACGCTGGTTTGTTTACACTGCAATCTTGGGTGGTATGATATTTGCCAACAAAAATACTGCAAGCTAAATTAGTCCGCAACTTTATTTCAGGAGCCGATATTACGGTGGGAAGTTGCTTGTACCTACTATTGATATTCAGAAGCACAGTACACCACTAGCCAAGTTTTCCAATAAATATAGGTATTGCTCTACGAATCTATGATTCTTTGTAGTTCAATATAGAAAGTGTCAGATATATGCGATTGTAAAGTTGGGTTGTGTAATAGAAAACATGCGTGGAACATTCTACATTATTAATTTTCAGGAATGTAAATGATTTTTCGTTTACTTTTAATGATGCGAGGATTTTAGGTAACGCATGAACATTGCTTAAAGATGACAAAATGTAAATTGCATCGGTGTGGTAGCATTATAATTTAATCGTCATTTCGAGAATTTAATAATGAGATTAGTTTGTGACGTCATCTTAATCTATTTACGGGATTTACACTGGAGTTTGTATCAAGTTTTTAGCATCCTTCTAATAAAATTGGCTGGTGTGTGTGTTGTAATAACAAAGTTGTTTATTGGTTTATTACAGTTCCCTGATAGACGAAGACAATATATTTGGCGAATTGTGGTGAAGTCAAACAAGAAGTGTTTACCTAGTTCGATTCTGGGAACTCTATATTTGCAATCGATACCAGTATTGCAGAGGTTTCAGCAGACGGCCACAGTTTCTGAGAAATTGTAGCGATAGGATTCCTTGTTTTTCTCTTTTTGTTATTCTTTACACCCGTATTGTGTCTATGGCTTCTATTGTCATGGCTGAAGGGTATTGAAGAAATAGGTAAATTAATTTTATTATTATGTTGGTATCGTATTAATATAATACAGTGTTTAGTTAGTCGTTTTACCTAAGACTTCAAAATAATTTTTTTTATACAACATTTTAACAACCATCTTCCAGGTACATATTCGTATCAGATGATTTTACTCGAATGAAATAAATAAGCAAAAGTTATCAGCTCATTAGAAGTTTGGTAAGTGGGTCAAATGGTCAGGTGGAGCTAATTTATAAGGAAAGATGAAAAATGTTTTTTACGTTATTAAATTGAACTAATTAGTAAACAGTTGAAGTCAGCATGCCTCAACTTCACAATAATCTCGGGACGAATCTGCTGAACCAGTTTCGAGAATTTAGCTGAAAAGTTCATTAAAATATTTTGCTCGACAGACTTTCCACAATAAAAGCAGAATAAGTAAGCTCTCTTTGTTTACCAAAATATTTATCTACCTATCGAGGTACAACTCAAAGGTGACTAACTGACTGACTGACTGACATAGTGCCACGCGTACGAAGTTGCGGGCGGCCGCTAGTAGCTAAATACAGGCGTCTATTTAATTGTGATAATATGTGGAAGATTGTCTCTCTTGATTGGATCTCTGGTTTATACTATTTCGTCCTAAATTCCCGCAACAATTGTTACTAACTACACAGCGTGAACCCATACAAATGCAAATGGACGTTGCACCGCCCACACTCCCACAAATCGTGTGTGAAACTCCAGGTAATGTAATTGTTAATACCCAACAGTAACATGAAAATGCATTAGATGTGTTTAGTAACAGCAAGAAGGATCTACAAGAGTAGTTACGGGAATATGGTAGTTGTCACCGCTAATTCTAAAATACTCGTTTCAGCCAAATGACTGAAACGAGTATTTTAGAATTAGCGAATGAAGCCATATTGTTTTAATTTTGTCATAATCCTTAATCGTGTAAGTAGGTATATTCCGAAGACTATAGCGATTATGAATCGAAACTAGGAATACTTTGTTACGGGTTTTACTGTTCCTTTTTCTACTGTCGGGAGCTTCGAGAACACTTGGAACATTTTTCGCATTCTTTTGTCTCTTGTGGCTAATTAATAGCGTTGATAAAGCGAGTTTAGAATTCTGCTGTTTTATTTAACTTCTCAATCATACTTAAGATTCTTTTAGAGAGCTGGCAAGAGCATACAGATTTTAAGGACTTAAAATCAATGTTTATGTAGGAATCACGCTGTATCTGGAAAATCTGGAAAACGTGTCGTGTTTCAGGGGCGTGAAATTTGTCTTCAGGCAAAAAGGCAAGTACCTATAGCGATAAATATAAAGAACACTGCACAGTTGAAAAAAGTCTGACAAAAGTGACTTTGACTTCTCAATCTTGCATTGCTCCTTCTTATCACTGCCCCACTTATTGTCCCAAATATTGGTAGGGGTAAAGTTATACTGGGACGTGTAAAAGCGCTTAGTAAAAGCCTATTTGCATAAAGTGCTTTTGTATTTTTACTAATCAGATATGAATAGTATTACCTGTAATATTCTTTCTTCCAGGCGTGTTGACTGCAACTCGCACCACTAACTGCGTGCCTCCCCGAGGACCAAGTCTGAGTCTCTCCGTCACGTAAAGGGCGCCAGTGCTCGCGAAAGCTGCGCCCGCGCTTAGCGCTAGCAGTGCTGTCACCTGAAAATGTAGTTCAATTAGTAATAGGCTGGTTGGCTATTCTGTAATGTTACGCTGGTGAAGACACAGAGTGTGACGCACAGTTTGAGATCTCAACCGAGCAATGTTATGGTACAAAGGATATCATCATCATCATCATCATCATCATGTTATTTAGTCCTCCACTGCAGGAAGACGGCCTTCTATAATTTACCGGAGGTAAATGGAGGATTTGGCCCACACTCTCCATGCTGACCAGACTGGTTAGGAAGTATTAGCTGTGTGCTATAGTTAAAACGTACTCCCGCCGGAACACTGTGGTAGGGTTACCTACATTATTATGTTGGGGCATGAAAGAGTGTTACATAAAATCTTATTTGCATAAAATACAACTTTGAACAGATTGTTTAAGGCCATTTGATGTGTGTGATTGTCCAATCGTAAAAACCTTTTTTGCGTAACCTGAAACGTTTGCATGTAAAATCCGAATGTAAAAAGGTTCACCGTAACAAGGGGTTTTGTTTTAATTTCCTGTTGTATTATATTTCTGATTTTGTTGGCAATGCATAATTTGTGGGACCTAATGTATTCCTTGTTTAAATTAAAATATTTTGTTACAAATAACAGGTATACCTACTAGGTAAATGCGTACAAGAATTTAGAAACCGTGAACTAGCCAATGTAAATTATACGTAAAACAATGATTATTATCGTGCATTATCATCTTTCTTAACAAATCAATGTAATTTAGTACCATTCAGAGGGAGGTAAAAAAGATCTACTTAATACCTTTTTTATCTAGATAGAATGCTCCTTTTTCTAGTCTAGTACACATGGATCGTAAAGTAAAAATGGCGAGGGGTTAATAAAATCCCAGTCAATTCGGAGATCTAGAGCCGAGTGACACGTGTGATATCGATGTGTTCGTGATCGGCACTCATCGAATCCCGATTAGGGATCCTGGGGTGATTCCGGCGCGAATCCCGGGAAATGGGGCGATTACGCCATACATCCCGGCTTAAACGGTTCAAACTCGCATCAGCCGATGCACGTTCTCCACACATTGCGGTGTTGGTACAGCCGATAACATATAATATCGACCCTATTACAACAATATGTAAGATGCTGCTAAAGTGTACGCTTAATATTCCATTGTTTGTACATTAACTTCGCAGAAGATATGGCTGAATTGGTTGTAGGTTGGAAACCAATTTGTGACTATAGATCGTTTCATCTATGAAAACGCGCCCCGCCATTCTTCCGCTAATGTTTAAGTGTTTTCTGTAAACGCTAAATTATCCATTAGTTCACACGAACACTACAATAATGACGCTCGGATTGCTCGGATCAAGTTTCTCGACCAAACATTGGTAGGGCGCGTCTTCGTGGATGAAACGATCTAAATCAGAGTTTAATTTGAACCTGCTACAAGGACATTATCTTTATCTATTGAATCTACATTTTTATTTAAAAGGACGTAAAGTTAAACATTATGGCGTCTTAAGCAGTTGTAAAATGTCTGACTTTTAGTGTCGGTAAGTAGTCCACGTCATCATAAAAAAATGACCACCTACACCAAAAGCTAGCATACTGAAAAACCGTCCAAAGCCATAATTATTCATTTTAAGAGACCTACTTTCGAAATACAAAGTTAGTTGCTTACAAAAGGTATAGTTCAAAATTAACGCAAACGTTACCTACATGGAATGAGGTGCAAAAGACAAGGGTAAATAAGTTTTAATTGGCTAGCGAACTCGTTAGCCCAGAGAACACAATGTATCGCTCGTAATTAAGCTAACTTGAATTAATTATAGCCCTGGTTTCGAATTTCAATGGCACAAAGTTTGAATTTAAATGAAATGTGGCACAAGAAATTCCCTTAAAAATATATTATTATCTCCTGCTTTATTTCAAACAACTGTCTTCTACTTGGATTTAACAGCAACCTTTTCACGAAAACTATTTTTATATTTGGCGCGAATAGGGTGGTTGTTCCTAGATACCTTCTGTGTTCCAAACATAAGCAACAATAATTATAGTTGTCTTTATTATTTATGTTTAGTCCAAATATTTGCTCATCATTTTAATTATACCTACTGCTTTTACGCTTTTTTACCTATTAATTTTTTTTCTTTAACTAAGTGGCATTAAGTCTTGAAATAAAAAAAATAATAATTCGGACCCTTCGGTCAGGGAAACTATTTCTATACAGGGTGGAAACGATAAGTGATCTCACTCGATTATTTCTAAACTATGCAAGATATCGAAAAACTGGTTACTGATCCTGAAAGTGCTTCACGAGCTCTATCCAACGGTACCAATAATAGGTTACAAAATAAACTGGATCTATCCGAAAATTCAATGTTTCCAGCTTCCATACATTTAGAAAAACCACTTAACATTAAAAACTACACTAGCTATCCAAAAACTGGTTACTAATCCTAAAAGTGCTTCACGAGTTCTATCCAACGGTACCAACAATAAGTTACAAAATAAACTGGATCCATCCGAAAATTCAATGTTTCCAACTTCCATACATTTAGTACTGCCACAGTCATGGTACTCATGTCTTGATAATATTATAGCAAGTAAAGCCTAGAAGCAATGTTTTCCATATTTTTTTTAAATAAGAATGCAATTTAAGTTGATTTTAAGTGTTTATTGTTTAATAAAAAAAAATACACTTTTCATATTGTGTGGCTGGCATACATTTAGCTAGTATGGAGGCGAAAACATTGAATTTTCGGATAGATCCAGTAAATTCTGTAACCTATTACTGATACCGTTAGAAAGAGCTGGTGAGGCTCTTTCAGGATCAGTATTCAGATTTTCGATATCTTGTGTAGTTTAGAAATAATCGAGTGAGATCACTTATCGTTTCCACCCTGTATTACTAGAATGTCATAGTACGAAACCGCTTTCAAAACACAAACCTGACCTAGATAGCGTTATACAAATTTAACGTCATGGATCGCAAACCTAGTAAATACATGTGAAATGTTTACTAACTCGAAATCCTAAGTAAATACAATTATTTTCATATGTTAACGGTGCGTGAATTAGCGCGTGTATTTGAGGTCACGTGAGTCGGTCGAAAGATCTACAAAGTTTGTTTTATCTCATTATTTCGTTGCCGTAGGGTATGTTTGATGTTGTAGAGTAAACAGGGCTTTAAAAATGCGTGAAATGTGACCCAAAGCAAACTTTGCCCGTGAAAATCCTGTTAGGCTGAAACTAAATAATGTTTTCGCAGAAACATTTCAGTAACACAACGTGTGACGTAAATTGAAATTAAAAACTGAGCGTAGGTAGATAATCTTTTTAAGCCAAAAAATAAAGCCTCCATAAAACATCGTTTTAGCTCACAGAAAATATTACTTAGGTAGGTACCTACCCTTGTTTTTTACTAGGTGAATTTTATAAGTCAACAAATTAATGATAGCAGAATATTGATCCTGTTCATAGTATGATCTCTGTAATTTCAAAGAATACCCACATGCTCTTTGCCCTTGTTTTTTCTACTATTCTATTTATCGCTTGAAGGGGCTTACTTAGGCACTAACGTATAATAAATCTTCAAAATCTGCAAAACATACTCATCATCAACAGCCCTTTACAGTCCACTGCTGGACTATGAGCCTCCTCCACTATAGTGGAGGGTTTTGCCATAATCTCCACGCTTGGCAGGCGGGTTGGAGATCGCAGTTTAAAAGATTGATGTTTTTCAGAGAGCGCTGCTGCCCATTCTCTGTTTGATGTGTAGTCCCTAAGTCGCCTCTTACGACACCCGCGGGAAGAGTAGGGGTTGGTGACAAATGTATTCTACTCTACTCACATCCATACAATTGTTGATGTTGTTCGTGATCTTGACGTCCACTTCAACGGTCTCCCCGACCTTCAAAGCTGGGGGTAGTGCGAAGTCCAGCTGTATGGGCCGGAAGACATTGATGGTTCTGGGTGCTGAGAAACGCAGCCCTCGGTTGGACAGGGATAGCGCCCAGAGCGACCACCGCCCTGCTTCTGAGGGTGCTGTGATGGTCACACCATCGGTGGATAGCTGACTCCTGGGGAAGATAAGGAAATAATGGTTATAGTCATAGTCATAGTCATTTATTCCATAAACAATAACATTATCGTATTGGAAATATTACAAAAAACATGAAAAATTAAAAAACATCAACCGATATAAAATCACAAATTATACAACACAGCATACAACTTTAAGGAAGCATTTAACAAAATGGGATCTTTACTTTTTATCATTTAAATATACTTAGGAATCAACCGGTTGTGGTGGTGGCCTTCGACGAACGTTAAAAGTTACTAGCCATCAAGAATAATAATTTTAAAATCATGTCGATCGTCATTTTGTTTTATATTTTTATACAGAAGGTGTCTTCGTGCTTCAATTCGCACGACAAGTTTCGTAAATAATAGGTTAATCCATTTAAAACAAAAGATGATTAATCCATGAAGTTATTCCAAACATTGTATCATTCATTATTTTCTTTTCACGAAATTCCCGAATACTCACTATGTACCTAAGTATTATAACATTCAAGCACGCACTACTTATAACTCTTGTGATCTTCAACTTTCAAGATGGATGTAGGTAGTCTCCAGGGGAGACCTGATTCTGGACCCTAATTTAATTTGGATCCGAAATGAAATAAATATGAAGAAAAATACGTTGTAATCTTTTACTGAAAGTTTTCTGAAGCTGTTTTATAAGTAATAAAGTTATGTTATAATCTTTAACACAGCTTTCACTAATCCATGCAATACGTATCCATACTATCCATATCTTTCAATGTTTATGTAAATAACTACACTACTTTTNAACGTGGGCAAGATAACTTGATAATACTGTCTTGTATGGATACAAGACTTATTGATTAGTTAAAAAATATAATAGCAAGCAAGCTTTAATTTCTCCTGTGTGCTATGGCATACGTCTGCCTTATTTTTTTATTTTGTCTTGAAGAAAGTAGGTAAATTAAATTCAAATTAGAATCTCTAATTTTGTTTTGTAGATCAAGCTTCTTGACAGATATTCCAGTCAATAAAGTGTTATAGAAAGAAATGCGTAGGAGTACCAAGCATTTCCCTTTACACCGTGTTTTGAGCATTAATTAACTGGACTAAGATGGCAGTAGTAGAATTAGCAGTAGGCTGAGAAAGCCGAAAGTCTTAGGTGGTAGATTTGGGTGAACTCTAAAAAATATGCTTGATACGCGACTCTATAAAGTAATATAAAGGCTTAACTTTTATACGTGATAAAAGACGTTTTTATGCACTACAATTCCATAAATCTGGTGCTCGTATCACAAAGTTAGATTACGAGCGCGATCGCTTTGTCTCTGTCGCACGACCGGACACTGAAAACGGGATTTACATGATGCGACTTAAGTTTATCAGAAAAACCCCTTGAAAAAAAACTTTCCGAAAACTGCGTTGAGCTCTTTGCCATTGGTTTTTGGCATAACTCTAATGTTCCGTGTTCAGATTTCAGTTGAGATCATTCATAAAGAAGATAAAACTAAATCTCATCAGGACTCTTTTACTCAGAAAAGCGTGACTTATAATAATAATACATGTCCGTTTTCACCATCAATCCCTAATTTTTAAGTGACCTCTATGGTAACAAATAACAGGAATTTTGCTGTCATAGGGGTCACTTAAAAATTAGGGATTGATGGTGAAAATGGGCATTAGAAAAAAAGGCCTGCTTTGGAAGGCTCTATCAAACTTTATTATTACGCATTGCATGTGCGTCGGCCAGTGTAAGCGCCGCTCCCTGCGGATCTACTTTATCATGTCATCCGGTTTGAGTTACGGCCATGATGCGAATGTATTAGACGTGAAACGTAGCTCGTTTAAAAACATAATTTAATTGTTTTATTTATGGCACAATGTAGACTCAACAACCATACGCCTTATGTTTATGCTAAAAGGAAAAGCTAATAAGAAATTACTAAACAACGATATGCGGTGTGTAATTTAAATTTAATTTGACTGATTATTATTCATTTACCATTATTTATCTTCTATTCTTTCCAATTATTTATCAGTATTATCTATAGTTGTGTCTATAGACTCTATATTCATGCACATTATCTACAATCATGCACGATGTTGATTTTTAAATTATTATTTCGTAGAATGACATTTTATTCTGCCTAATTTTACCTACTAATATTTTTAGCGACCTACAAAAACTCAAATATTTTTGGGAGGAAACCTAAAAGCTTGAGGAAAGCTATAAGATAAATTAATTAGTATGTGCCTAGCTTACATCATGAATAAATTAAAGCGTACCAATTCTCATAAAGTAGGAAATGAAATTATCATATTGAAATATTGAATACAGTTTCCTTTACTGGACCGGACGTTATTCGGACGCTGTTTATCACGCCGTCCGGTCGGAGGCACCGGTTTGTTGTTCCGTAATATAAATGAATCGGTAATTTATGCACATTTTATGTAATCACGTTTACTATAAATATTTTTAATAATTTATGAAATACAAATTTCAATTTTAATACTATTGCAAGCAGCTTTCGGCCTGGTTTGTGATGTTGGTAATGTTTCTGTGTGTACTAAGGCTTATAATGTTAATTATGTATGTATGTTAATCTCTTGTCTGAAATACATACAAGCTTGCTAGTTTGAGACTACGTAATTGACATGATAGTTGGCACGGTTAATACATGTTATTAATATTGTATATCTATCAATTTGCTGTCTGGCAATCAATAACTGGATGATCAAGTGATTCTAGGCTTCATGGCTTGTTATTTAATTGTATACGCGTCTCTGCCACACAGTCGGAAGTGATAAAAATCGTAATCAATACCGCAGTCAAGATAGCTGTGTTAATGTATTGTATTTTTTAGTATACCATGTAAAATGCTGGATTAAACTATTACATTTAAAATAATTTGCTATGATAACAATGAGATGCGGCTTTACACTACCACATTCCATAATTACAACTACGAAAAAAATATGCCAAATAATATTTTACTGTAGATAATCCTAGGCACAGTTCATTACTACAAATGAAAATGGAATAGTTACGTATTTATAATGCTCTGAATCTTGAATTTTCTAAATTGTATAGCAGTGTGGCAAATCAATTACTTAGGCTGGGTTGCACCATCTTACTTTAACTTTGACAAACGTCAAAAATCTGTCAAATTCCATACAAAAAACGCCGGTTATCGTAATAGTTACGGTCAAAGTCAGGTGGTGCAACTCAGCCTTAGATTTGAAGATTTGAGGCAATCTACAACTGATTTTTATCATGATTAAGTATGTATTTTTATTGGCGGACTGCTGCATGGCCGAATGTGTATCTATGTCTATATTTTTTTTTAATAANAAAATGTTTTTTAAAGTCTTCGTGGAAGATGTATGTAAATATTAATATGCTATTATTCATACGGAACTTTATTAAACAATTAAATGCAAATATATTTACTTCGTTATTGTTATGGAAATTTAGATATTTTAATGTTGCAATATTTTACATATTTGTACATAATTTCTTCATTTTTAAGAGAAAAATTATGAAAAAAATTAACAATATGTATTACCTCCTTCTCGATTTTTTAGTGCAATAAAAAAAATATCGCACAAGTGGACTTGCATACTTCTTCCAGGGGGGGTGCGAAATATGGGTCTGGTCTAGTGATTTTTGAAAAATACTATAATCCGGGCCTTTTCAAGGCGAGAGTGAATAGGCACTTGCAGGGCAGAAATGTACCATCCTAGACTGCATCCCACTTAACATCAGGTGCGATTGAGGTCAAATACCTGCCTAGTTATGCATAAAAAAAAACATGTTCGTTTTGGCCAAGTTATTCCATAGTTGGTAGGATTATGTTTCATAGTGAAGGCTTTCTTTCTTACTTCACTTTCATATTATCATTTCAGCTAATTTCAGTCCAAAGCTAACGATATCTTTTTTTTCATCTAGCTGCTGCCAGAAATATTTTTGCAGTGCATCGAGTTGATGTGGGCGTCCTACATTTTCAAAGAAGTTGCATAAGTAAATAAAGTTTAGTTTATTAGTAATTTTAATATAATTTTTAACTTTTACAAAGATAACAGACAAGGTTCCGTTCTAAGAGAGGCGTTTAGAGGTTACACAAATAAGTTAACAAAATATTCCTCAAATTTGAACCCGTTGTTGTTGAAAACATCATAATACTGATTATACATACAAATAATACCCCAAACTAGGTCGAGAGTTTGAACAAACTTTGCCTATTCGACTACTTAGGTAGTTAATCTGTAGGTGCTCAGGTAACTTAGTGCTTAACCGATGTTTGGCTGCCTTTGAACGTTAAAGCACAAATAATGTGGGTAACGTAAGTGATTGATTAAGTGCTGTTCAAATTTCTGAATATTGTTTCGGGGTTTCATAACATTACAGGTAAATACTTCCCAAGCTGAATAATGGATGTTTGTGCTTCGTCTTAATTATTTTACATATTTTGTGTTCTTATCACTGATCAAGGAATGGTCAGCTTGTGGTCTTTAAGTAATTGATTTAGGGTGAGAACACCCCAAAAATCATTTCCAGCAGTATCAGCAAGTAAATAGCGACTCGGTGGAGGCCAACGTGTTAAAAAGGAATTGTGTTTTTTAGGGTGCTTTCACACAAAAGTCTTCACACATTAATCTTCAACTCGTGAGTACTGATGGGTACCTAACTTACGTATAGTTGAAGCATTTGTTATGAGGTACACCGCCTGCGCCATCGCCGACGTATACAAAGCACACGCCGGCTGATTCAAACTCTGGGTCGGGTTACGGTGATCTAGAGAAGGTACAAAGTAAGGAACTCACGTATAGTTGAAGCACTTCCACATCCACAGCCGGTCGTGTAGCGCCGGCGGTACGAGATGCGCAGGAGTTTGCGGCGCAGGCGCTGTTCGTTGTCGGTAAAGCACGCCGCCACCGCACGCGCCGCCGCCGACGAATAAAGACACGCCGGCTGATACAAACTCTGGGCCGGGCTGCTCTTCGTGCTCGGAAGTTCTAGAAAGAAGAGGAGGTTATGAACTTTAAGCACATAAATTAACTATCCTATAAAGTTCGGTGGACTGACTACCTGGTGAAGCGCAAGAACCCCGAAAAGTATATAATTGTACAATAAAATAATGTAATTTATATTAATATTAAGGAATATTATTACTATTAAGCATTATTTTGTAATTGTTAATGTTAGATGTTAACTAAGTACCTATTAAATGTTTGCTACACCCTCACAGGGTCAATGTATGAATGCATGTAGGTATACCTGTATACTGTCTGTGCTGAATATGTTAATGCAAATGAATAAATAAATAAATAAAGTGCCTGCATGCGTGTAGGTCTTTTTCTAGCACTGAACTATAAAGAAACGTCTTTACTTATAAATTTTAACTTTTTTCACAACTCAAATTTTTCTTGTTAGGTCGCTCATTGGGCAAATTGAATTTAATAAAAGTATGAAATGCTCGAGAAATCAACTACCAGTAATACACATTCCATAGCTTCCTTTGTTTATCCGTCTGATCAAAAGAAAACAATCTTCACTTCGCCCGTTCGATCAATTTCAACTTATTGGCGACGGTAAAAACTCACAATCGGACCTCCCAAATGGCAGCGGAAGCTACTCATACGCTACGTGCCCCAATTCCAGACGTATGAAAGGCCAGCGAATGTTTCCACTGAATTTCCTCACGAACGGCCCGGAGATGAATCATCCCTACATCATGTGACATATTCTTGGCTACAAGTTTCTGTCATAGCAAGAGAGATCAGCCAGCCTTTCTTTTAGTTTTTAGGAACTTTTCATGAAAGTTATCAGAGCCTCATCATTTTATTCATTTTACAAAATACCTGTTATAGTCTAAAATATTAGCTCTTTCTCGCAGTTTTGCCCATATGGATTACAATGTATAAATAACGCAACCAAAAAGCAAATCAAACCTATGTTTATCAAGCTGTATATTATAAAAAGTTGGGGTGTTCCAAATTCAGAGAATACTTGAATAAAACATTAGCTGTAACTTTGTACCTCTCAAAGTGTAAAAATGTTATAATTTTCCAGAGATTCTTACGCCATCTTGATAAAGTTCATTATACAAAAATTGGTATTGATGCAACAGCTTTCTTAGCATTTCACTAAAAGAACAATAAAACCTTTGTTATTCGTACTGGCGGTTTTACTTTGGCTGCTACTATAGTATGTTGCAATTTCTCATTTTCGAATGAAGTAGTTTTATTTGAAACGCCGGTGTTTGTTTTTCAACGTTTTTTGATACGGAAAACGTTGTGTTGCAAAGAAAAGTTATTCATTAGAATTTGTATTTACGTGAATGTACAGAGAAATGAAAACGTTTTACTCATTATTAAATTTAATTTCAGTTGTGAATTTGAAAATGTTGTGTTTGTAAAAGTTAGTTTTGAATGGATTTATTTTAAACTTGTTTAGAACTTTTAACAATGGTTCGTTTATTCAAGCATCCAATAGCTTTGTCGTTTTTATTGGTACTTATATTAAATATAATCGTCACCATTATCTGCATGACGTAAAACAGGTTAGAGAATGCCTATTAGTAAAACTATTTGTACAACTTTATTCGTGCATCATCATCATCATCATTTCAGCCATAGGACGTCCACTGCTGAACATAGGCCTCCCCCGATGCTTTCCATGTTGATCGATTGGTAGTGGCCTGCGTCCAGCGCTTCCCTGCTACCTTTATGATGATTGTCATCGGTCCACCTTGTGGGTGGACGTCCCACGTGTTCGTGCATTATAGTGTAAACGTGCCCAAAGCTCCTTGCTGAAAATCAGTACCTATCATAGCACAAAATGTCAACGGGGACCTATTTGGTACACTTCGTTTTCTATTATACTTATATCGTTATGGATATTTTACGTGCAAATAAATAAGTCCTTATACTTAAACAAATAAGACTCACGTTTGGTGTGGGTCGAAGCGAGCGTCGGGAGGTGCGCGTGCGCCGATCAGACACATGGTAGAGTCTGGTGGCGCCAATACTCGAAGCTGAAGCGTAGCGCGCGGGTACCACCAACGACGTTCTTCAATCGCTACTGCCACCTGGTGGAAAATTGTAATCTTAGTATGCTGACGCTGGAACAGGATGATGATTTACTAAGAGTTCTTTGATTGTAGGAATATTTTTCAGGATTGATTTAGGAGGATAACAATAATCGAAGGAGGTCATTGTCGGGCTGCCATGCCAATTTGTGGGTCTGTAGTTTGAATACTGTCGACCGCCTGGACAATTGTGACTATGTAATCATTTTGTAATTTGAGTTTTTAGGACTACTAACTTAATTAAGCCCCAAGAAACACACACAGAATGATTTGCACTGATTCCAGTCCATTGATAAAATAATAAAAATGCTTCTTATAATGATCATCAAGTTAGAAATCTGTAGAAAACAGGTACTAGATAACCCAATAATGTATTTGAACGAGTCGTCTCAATTAAACTGTACACAAAGGAACTTTCACCGGACTTCTATATGAAATCCAGACAAGAAGGATGATCCCAATAGCCGGATAAAACAAGCTTATTGAACCAATTTGGTCGAATCGGCGAAATTACAGCGTTCTTAATTGCCCCCTTTCGCCGTCAACGAATCGCCATTCATTAGCAACTCGCTGATTACACCGTTTGCCGAATTGTGAGGCTTTGGGTGTGTGGAGGGAAGAAACGGAGCGAATTCTTGCTGTAGTTGACAGTGAACTTTGTTTGCCTGGGTTGAGCTGATCACAATTTGGTTCGGATTAACTGTTGGATTCGTTTGGTAAAGGAAACTGTCTCCAACTCCAAGGTCGGGTCTTTATCTTCTAAGGATGTAAATCATTGCAATGCTGGTAGCATTTTCATTGTTTAATTTCGATGTTTATAGTGTGATTTTTCCAAGTGCCTAGTTTTAAGGGACCAAAAGTTACCGAAAAAACCACTACCATCCATTCGTAACACTAGTAGATGTCGATAGGTTTCGTTAGTTATAAACTGGAGGTTTAAGGATATGATTCGTTTTGTGCAGGAGTGCATTCAGTTACGACACAACAAACTACATACAGTACAGTAAGTACATTTTCTATACTTTTATAGGTCCGATTTTACTACAAAAATGTAGTCTCTGATGTGCCCACGACTGTACTTCGATGAAAGTAGCAAATCAATACTTAATTTGACCTTCAAAGTTGTTTAATCTGATACTGAACTGAATGTTAACTCTATTCTTAAATCTCCCCTAATATTTCATAGCCGTCTATTACCGTATCCTATAGGGCTAATTGGAGGGCGAATAATTACGAAATTTGTGTGAAAAGTGTCCTCAAAGGTCGGAAACGGGGGAAAGGATCATTCTTACCGTTAATTAAAATGGACGCGCTTATTATTTATTAATATCGGATAGTGAAAATTTTGAGCAAATTTTAAAGGAGATTCCATAATGAAATGTTTGTACAATATCTACCTCAATTCAAGTCAAATTCTTGCTTAAGTCTTCTTGCTAAATCTAGATTACTTGATTTATTTTAGATTGGGTTAAAATTGAGACTTGGAGTGAATAATATCTTCTTCTTCTTTTCAGCCAAATGACGTCCACTGCTGGACAAAGGCCTCCCCCAAGGTTTTCCACAATGAACGGTCCTGCGCTGCCCGCATCCAGGCTCTTCCCGCGACCTTTACCAGATCGTCGGTCCACCTAGTAGGAGGCCTGCCCACGCTACGTCTTCCAGCCCGTGGTCGCCACTCGAGTGAATAATATAATTGTTAAGATTCATAAAGATCTTCGTGATATTAAATATTTTGTCTTATAGGTTTTATTGCTATCCTAATGATAAATGACAAGGTACCTACAAAAAATATAACATATTCATCAAAGAATATATCACTGTGACTGCAACTACTTACCTAACCAATAATAAACCACGAAAATTATTGAAACAAACGTAGATTTTTGCAACGACTGTGTTTTATTTCTTTCACATGCTACCATAAACAATATTTAATACATATTTTGTTACAAAGAAGTTCTAATATCAATACCCCCACTTAACAAAATAAACTTATTAAATTAAAACTGTGTTTCATTTAATTAATCATGACAAAATCTATTACATTAGTCAGTTGTAACGCCTAATAAATGAAGAAACCTATAATGCTTACACAACATTAATCCCTTTGTCAACAAGTCAGCAGGCATCTCATTTGAACACAAATATTTAATTTCAATAATCTCATCTTTAATATAATCTCTAACAAAATGATGTCTGACATCAATATGCTTTGACCTATTATGACATTGGTGACTTGTTGCCAAACTTAAAGCACTTTTGTTATCACAATACAAAGTTATTACATCTAACTTGCCTGTAAGCTCATAAATTAAATTCCTTAAATATATAGCCTCTCTAGCAGCCTCCGAGAGCGCCATGTATTCGGCCTCTGTACTGGACAGGGCCACTGTCCTCTGCTTTCTACTTTGCCATGAAATTACAGAGCCAGACATAACAAAGCAGAAACCAGTATAGGATTTCCGATCTAGCATATCACTAGCCCAGTCGGCATCAACGAATCCTACTAACTCTACATTCCCTTTGCTATATTTTAAGTGATACATTTTTGTCTTTTGTAAATACCTGAGAACTCTAATTGCATAATTCCAATGTGTTTCATTATATGCATTGTTGAACTGACTCAAGTAACTGACAGCATAACTTATGTCAGGCCGGGTCAAAACTGCAAGATACATTAANTCTTAGTCTATTTCTGATTCGATCTCGTAGAGAAATTAAACTCGTTGTTAAAGCAAAGAAATTAAAGGAGCAGTCATACACATTTAATAACATACAGATGGAACATAGAACAGATATAACAGTGCGGGAAAACAGTTGCTAAAAGAGATGAAAACTTAAAAAGAATTCCTTTTAATTAAATTAAAAAGAGGGAAGAACCTGGATGCGGGTAGCGTTGTAAAAATACTTGGAGCAGGCCTTTGTCCAGCAGTGGACGTAATTTTGCTGAAACGAACGAACGAAAAAAACTTTTTACTAAATACACCCTGTATACAGAATTACAAACCAACCTTTAGACCTTTATTAAACTGTATTTAACCCATCTTTTGTTCAGTTTCCTACCAGTTAATTCTTTAAATGCTGCAAAAAGTAGCAATAAAGTATGGTAGAGCAATAATGTAGGTTTTCCTGGTACATTTATGATACTTTACTGGTAGGCGACATTTTTATTGCGTTAAATCTTATGATTTGAACATTTGGGGAAATATATTATAACTTACTGAAATGAAATACCTCTCTATTAAATATTTGTTAATGTTATCATTTGATTACACTCATCAGTACTTTAGAATTTTTGCAACATCGCAAAGACCGCTTCCTAAATATAAGTAACCGCTAAATTGTGGCTTTACATTTTGTCTTGAATGTATTTTTTTAAATACTGTGAACCTTATGTGCGCGTTAAAAACAATGACATTTCCATACTGATCAAACAAGTATTCAACACGTCTTTAACTTTTTTAAAAAGAGCCTCTATTTTTACTGTCAAAGAATAGCCGATTGAATGTATTAATGCAAATCAATTCTACTTTCTTAAATAAATTCTTGAGCTTCAAATAATAAAACAAGTAGGACATTTTATGAGAACTATGAGTCATAAGATTTTAGAGTCAATAGTCTTATTGCGATATAAAAGTCTTTTCATTGCTAAAAACAACATTTCGAACTTCATAACACCAGAAAGACAAATTTTACGACCGTTTCTTACTGAACTTTAACTTTCACTGAACCGTAAAAAAACTTTAATTTCTAAGCAAAACAGTAGACAATGGTTTCGCAACATATTAGCATGTTAATGATCCGTGAGGGTTTACTAGTTGGTGATAAAAACGAATGGCCATCTGGATGTCGAAGGGCTCTCGATTTGGGTTCATCGACACATTGATTGAGAGTTAAGACAAAGAATAGAGAGTAGAACTTTTTGGAAGCTGATAGAACTTTTTTAAGCATAAAAATTCGGGCCTATCAAGGCGAGGGTGAATAGGCACTTACAGGGCAGAATTGTACTATCCGAGACTGCATCTCACTTAACATCAGGTATGCGGACAAATATCTGCATAAAAAAATATATATTTTTTGAATGTAGGCTTCCATGTTACAACCACCTTACAAACCTTTTTATAGACACCATAAATATATCAATTCTTAATAAGAAAAATATAACAATAAATCAGTGTTCAACGAAATATTGTTTTAATCACTGACATATTTGGGCGTCCCAGTATTATTTAACCCTACCACTGCTTCAGGAAAATAAATGGGTCAGTGCTGAGAAGCAGTGCAAGAAACTCAGTCACAGAAGGTGCACACAGTGTCACATGTGGCAATCAAGTCCCAGTCATAGACAAAGAGAAGATTAAGCAATTGTGGATTGGTGGAGCTCGACAATTTAGCTTTGATAACGTCTGCAACTGCGGTCGGAAAACCCTTGATTTAGTTGTCTTTAGTTATCTATTTTGCTCTAATCAGAAAGAGAGAGACATTGAAAAATGAACTAGATTATCAATATTATTTATCTCTGCGTTGAGTTAAGATTGAGTAGGAAATAAATGTTTAAGGCAATACAAAATAGTTTTGAAGCCACGATAGCTGTTAAGATGTTGATCATGTTGATGTATTTATGCTATACCGTTAGGTAAAGGTGTCGGACTGGCCGACTTGTGATCCGAGGAATCTATCTATTTCTATCTATAGCAGCCTTTGGGTTCGCCTTCGAACATAGGCCTCCTCTTCAACCCTCCACCAACTTCTGTCCCTGGTCACACGCATCCAGTTCACTCCGAGGAATGCTGGTTCGAATCCCACCGTCGCTGGTCTATAGTGTATTGTAGTGAATACATTCGTAATACAAGCACATTTACCTTAAAGATTACGAGCCCGGGGTTAACGGGACTATTAGCTGTGCTATTAGTAATTAATTTGTGCAATACAATAAGTAGGCAA